TAATCCCCGGAAAAGGACAAAATGAAGCGCTTAGCCCAGTGGTATACATTTAACAGCTTGCCATACGGGAGAAGCTACATTTTTTTTTTTTTTTATTATCACCGACGCGACCTCGCTGCCGATGTCCGTCCTATAAAGTCGGTCGTTTTTCATCGCTTTTCTCGTAACGTCCGACGGCCTGACTTTGTTTTGTTTCGTTTTTATTTGCGGCTGAAAGGTGTCACGCCGGGAATTGACCTGATCGGGCCGTTAAAAAACAGCCCCCCCGTTATTACCCGACCGCCGTCGCCAGGCGCGCTGGTGTCTCCAAGGCCGTTCGGCGGCGTGCCTAAAGCAAGTGCGCCGCAGCCATGGTGGCATGGTCGCCTGTGTGACTTTTTATCTCAGCTAAAATCATCGTGCGCTGAATATTTACTGGCCGCTGAATTTTACAGGATGTGAAATTTAAAGATGCAGGGGAAGGGGAAAAGAAAGGGTGGGGGGGGGGGGGGGGGGGGGAGGTCTTCACTCTCATACGATAAGTGTGTGTCGGCGTTTGCATCGATCGGAGGGGAGTCAGCCCTATCTCATTTGAGTTGCAGATTCAGTTGATGAGTTCGGAGACCATAGGCATATGTCGGCGGTGAGTGTGTGTGGTGCTTGATTTGCATTTGTGGGCTCCCTTCAGTTTTTGTTGCGCGCATTACTTCTGCGGCCGTATTGGGGCCGTTTTTTTGTTTGCTTTTTTCCCCGCTTGCTTTTGAATTGTATAGTGCATGCTCACTGTTTTGTATTGCCACCGAAAGAAAATGAATGTATCGAACTCACTCCATGTCGATCAGCTGTGATCATGTACCACACAGTCGCCCCCCGTCAAAAATTAAAATGCATCAAAGTGAATGAAAATGTAATTTCATGGGTTCATGATTTTCTGAGTAGCAGAAAGCAATCGGTAATTAGACGTGATGCGAAGTCGCCCCCCCATAAATAACAAATCTCGAGTACCCAAAGGATCTGTTTAGGGCCTACTTTTGTTTTAAGTCTATATAAATTATCTTTCCATGCACTTGCCTTATATAAAATTAAAAAAAAAAATCGCCTATTTGCTGACGACCATGTGATATACCGTCAAATTTCAGATCCAACCGACTATTTCTCTGCAAAAGAGACTCGGATAGCCTGATGTTATGGTGTGACACTCGGCAAATGCGAATGAATGCAGAAAAATAAAAACAATTACATTGACTGCCCGAAATAACGCGCGTCAATATGACTACGAAATTTTACATTCTAATTTAGATAATGTTAGCACATAAATATTTAGAAATCGACCTAACTTCTAGCTTTTCCTCAAATACTATATGGAAGTCCACCTAAACTCTAACGTTTCCTCGAATACTCATATAGACTACATTCTTAAGACCGCGCATCAATCATTGGGATTCATGAGAAGGCATTTGCATATGCCCACAACAGAAACAAAACAACTTGCCTTCCCTACCCTGATCAGGCCAAACTTCGGGTATGCATCCATAATTTGGAACCCTCATTGAAAGTACCTAATTGGCTGTCTCGAATCCCTTCAAAACAAGGCCATTCGGTTTATACTGAAAACGTACACACTTGTGAGCGTCACACCTCTAAAATATTAAATTGTTTGATTAACGCTCCAGCAGAGAAGGTATTTTGCTAGGCTATCCTATTTCCTCAAAATTCTTGCACGGTTCATCCGAGTTTCGTGTAACATCCTTCCACCTGCTCGCGTCTGGCCCCGTCAAGATCACGTTTGCTAAGTGCTAATTCCATTCGCTAAAACTAACTGATTCAAATTGGTACAGGCTATGGCCGATTGGAATGATTTGGCAGGCGAAATCGCTTTAACGACAATTCATGACACCTTCATAGCACTATTACGAGACTTACTGTGATAATTCACAAATTGTGTCGTGCATATATTTTTTTAGCAGTTCATGTTATATTTTGTTTGCATGCCTCGAGTTCTGAAACATCTGTACACGTGTGACTTCATATATGACAATCTTATAATCGTTTGTTCTGTTTCGCGTGACCCTGTGCGTGTTTTTTTTTTTTTTTTTTTATTGTCTCCTGTTTTGTTATTTGTAACGCTCATCCTACTGACGGCATATTACGCCCCCCTCTACGTAATGCCCCTCCGGGACCTTTAGAGGTATTTAAATTAATAAATAAAAAAAAAGAAACGCTTGAGCGACACACGCGCACACACAAACACACACACACGACCGCTCTTGATCCTGATTAGCCGACGAGGGTACGTAAGGTTTACTCCGCAGATATAGCAAATTGCTTTTATGTTGCATTTAAATTGCATTACAAAATAATTTTCTTAAAATTATTCAACGGTAAACAGTGATTTGCGAGAAAGCAGGCACTCTCAATTTCTGTGATGAAAGTTCCACGCAGTTTGCGCCAAATTGCGCCATGAACGGAACTCCGTTACATTTTGCGCCAAAGTGCCAGTTTTGCTTAGAAGTGCGCCATACAAGCGCCAAAATAAGCAAAGCAAAAAAAAAAAAAAAAAAAAAAGCTATATTATTTGTCGATCTTAATAATCGGGTGAAGTAGGAGGAAAGAAAAATAATACAAATATTTATTTCAAAACGTTTCTATAGTCACTGTATCGTCCGTTTCATCTTAGGCAGAGCACAGTCGAAGACTCGAAACACATGCAAACCACGAACACACATATTAAAAGCGCGACTCACAGGAGATACGCCATTCACTTGATTTCTTATCAAAGAACACGAGCAGAAAGGCGGACGAAGGTCGTGATGTAGAAATTCGATGACGTTTTGTTAGTTCCATTGTCTCGGCTGCGCTTTCAACTAGGGCGAAGATAAGATATTCAGATTGCTCGTCAACCGCGCTGGACCGTTGATGCGCCGGCGGGTCGCGATCGCCGACATCATCTATAATTCCAGGTGATGTCAGGGGATAAAAAGTCACTTAAAAACATCGCAAAATAGGATGGCGGCTACTATGATAGGACGAAGGAGGGCCTCATACTCCCGACGAGTTTGCTCGATATTTGCATCTGCCGCACGTCTCCCTGCCGCCCCTCACCAGCGCGCCTGCGGCGAGCTTCACCGCTTTGCACCGAAGCGCTAGGAGCAGCAGCTGTACGGGGGAGTGCCTGGGTTATCTATTTATTATTTCGGGAATACTACCGGCCCACTCTTGTGGGCCAAGGCATGTTTGTATGTTCCGTTGCGGGGCAGACATTGTAAAAATATGCCATACAAAATTTAATATATTAAATTATACAAAAATAACGATTATTTCGCGGGATATTTACTTATATACAGTATCGACTAAAGCTCTAGGGAAACAATCATATGTAAGGAGACTTGTCACACTTTTTGTGCCGAGGACCCGCGTTTAAGTAAGGCTAGTTATTCCAATCACGTACAGTTTGAGGGAAAACAAAAATATTTAAAAATGCATTTTTACTTGGAAGCTCACGAAGCAAAATTCCGTGCTTCCGCCTTGTGTTTGGCTGTCGTTGTATTTCGGATAGTCGGTGACGTGCAACCCAATCTCATTGTGTATTAGGTGATAGAAAAACTTCAAGCGCTTGACTTTCCTTTGACATGACAATGCGGATGATGCACACAAGAATGTCATGGGCGTTTCCCTGACGTAACCGTTATAAATGAAGCGAAGTGCCTTTTTCTCAACATCTTCCAATCGGTCAGTGGATCTCTGAAAATGCTGGTTCCATAATATACCTGCATATTCTAGTAGTGAACGAATCAAAGAAGTGTAAGCCATGAGCTCTGTTTCTCCAGTACAATGACAAATATTCCTTTGTGAAGGCCGCAGTTAAGGGGAAGCATTCGCTATAATATTCACAAAATGAGCGGACCAACTTAATTTAGAATCTTTGTAAGCGACATTTCTATAATATTTAATAACGGCACTCGTAATTTTTAACGCGATTGCGAACGCACTACGGTCCTTCTTTTTGAAATGCCGGTTTGGAGTAATGTCGGCTCCTGGTTTTTTTATTCTCCCTCGGAAAACATGGGGGCGCTCGACGCGTGTAGCACCGAGGATGATCGGCGAGTCGGGGAATCGGACAAAGTTCTCTTTTTATGGTGCCCGACGACCTCTCAGACTTTGAAAATTAAATCGTCAAAGGGTCAAAACAACTGGGTTCGGTGGGCGTGGTTTCGGTTATGACTCCGCTTCCAACTTAAGCGTTGTGCTATGATTCGTTTTTCATATATCTTTTTTTAATACCCATTTTAAATACAACCCATTCTGACTAGAGCCGTATTTGTGAAGAGGGGGCTATGTGTCCCTTTTGCGCCCTATTTGTTCTTCTAACAATTAGTAATAATAATATCTGCAGCATTAAAGAGAAACTCTCAGTCATTATCGAAGATGAACTCATTTAGCGATGCCTTTCCTTCTTTATATATTATTTTCGAGTGATGTGTTGACAGATGTCGGCATCTACTCGAAAACCGAATGGTGGTGCTCCAGTTCAATATTGTGTCTGCTACAGAACCTGCTACAAAAAGTCACCGAGGTTTTTTATCTTGTAGAATTCTTTTATTTCTTAAGCTTGCGCGTCATAGACTGGTCAAACCATATTATATTAGTGATATTTTGCAGACGACTGAGTCTTACACAGAAAACTACTAACTATAAATGACACACTGGTTTTTCACAACAGCATAAACTCTGTATTTTTATGGTGTAGCAAGTGAAAAATGCGTACGAATATTAAAAAAAAAAAAAACAATTTAATGACTGTATTAAGGACCAAAACCACAATACGTTGTAAATAAGGCGAGTTGGTCAGGTGACGTCAAAAACCTGACGCAACGGCCTCGCAAACTAGCAGGTCTAGGTCAGATTGACAGGATCGTCACCTATATACCGCACTGGCGGTTTTGAATCGTGTTCATATTTCACGCTCGTTCGGTTCCCTACGATGCACCGGCTTAAAGAAGTTCCTCGGTTCATTCTTGCAGAGGACGACTGCAAGGCCGACGCTGCCGTCCAGCCGACCACCCGCAAGAGCGCGGACGCCGTTTCCGCCGGCCATGATCCTCAAGTCTTGAGTCCCATCGAGCCAGGTAACGAACCGCTCCCTTGTAATTGGTCAGTCGATGCTGATTCGCGTAATATCACGTTGACGGCCGAAAAGAAGCTCGACCCCCGCCATCTCTTGCCGGTCGCCAGTACTGCCTAATGAAAGTAACGGTATCGAAGCCGCAGTTCAGAAGGTACCACCAAAACAGTTGCCGACAGTTTAAGAAATGCCGGGCGCGGAGAGTCCCGTCCATTTTATTATCGCCCCGCAAAAAAAGCGCAGACGATGTTTTTGTGCTCACCGAGGTCTTAAAAAACGCGTGGCCTAATACATTCGGCGTGTTGCTTTACGACAGTAATAATCCCTGGAGAATGGGGACAAAGGGGACATAAGTTTAAAATGCAGGCCGTCCATCCTTGTTAGTGTCGACTGGTGCCAGCTCATAAAACCTGTTTGCTCTACTGACGTCTAACCCCTGGTTAGCTCAGTTGGTAGAGCGCTCCACTGGAAACGGAGAGGTTCCCCGTTCGATACCGGTACCAGGCGAATTTTTTTTTGGTCGTGCACCACCAGCACCAGTCACCTAGCTCGGTTTAGAGATTTGTGTTTGTCCTCTGTCCCTCTTGTTCCCCTTCTACACTGATTATTATTGTCCTTCTTATCCAGCTCGTTTGCACCTTCGCATTAATTGCATTATAATCATTGCTTAATGATTCGTTTCTTTGCGCTCCTATTGAACAATGCCAGACTCAGTGGCTACAGGGCAATAAGGCGTCGGACTTACCGCACTCTGCAATTCTTTAGTGACATTGTCGCGCAACGCCAAACTTAGCGCCGGCTCTCACTTTAAATCCTCTGAGAGGTCTCTTCTTAAAACTTCCTAATTTTAATAGCCCTTAAAAAAATGTTTCAGAGACCGAAGTATTCTTACATTGCCACGTTTATCTACAACCGAACACTCTCTCCGTCTAACCACAAGTAAACACCGCTTCCTGTCTCGCTCGCGGTCCGGCCAAGTCCACTCAGCCCCCCGAAACTTTCCCATGCTGCGCCGGCCGACAGCTAACGGGCCGATGTGTCTTCCTCGTTCGGAGAACATTTGGCCCTCGATGCATGCGGCAGACGTGGCCCAGAAGGACAATGGGCCCGTTTTGCGAACGGGGGTAGACCGACGCAACCCACGGCGGGGGGGAACCGCCCACGACTATACTTTCTCACGGACGGAACCATTGTGTTCGCTACCGACCGAGCGGAGCAATACCACTGGATATCAAACGATCCTCGGTTCGCACTGCCTTCCGCCGTGCTTCTTGGGCTGGCGCGGGCGGCTAAGACTACGTTGTGTGCGGATCGTTCTATAACGTACGGTACATTAGACGCCGCATTTATTACTTCATACCGGTTAACGCCTTCGTATTCGCGCCGCCAATGTCATTTCTATGGGTCGGGACGCAGTCGTTCTAACGGTTCTCTCTTCTCGCATTCACTACAGTCACTGACAGCTTCAAAAAAGCAGGGCGTGCCTTCTGTTCACGCTTCTTGTTTTATAATTCGTTCTTGGGCTTTTCTTATTGGGTAATCCCGTAACCTGATTGGCTGCGATGTGATAGCCGCGCCTCGCCCTGAGATATTCTAAGCTATCAGGGACGCTACATTCTCCCGGGCGCAGAGTAGCCGGTAACAGGACACTCCACGCTACAGTCCACACCGGTTGTGCGCAGTGCACGTGCGCACAAACCGAATTCGCGCCAGATAAATCGTCCGCGCATGTGCCGGCTGCAGCGCCACCGCACGTCGGAGTCGCTCGTTCATTCGTACGCGTCATCGACCGCGATCCCGATATTTATGTCGATGTTCCTACGAAAGGCTCAGTCGCAGATTTGCCTTAGAAATCGCTCGAGTGCCTCGCGTTCCCTCGTAACAGCTTTTAAGGTAGTGGCAAGCGGACCTAGCTTAACGCACTCGCGTGTTATCAGGTTTAAACATTTCGATCGGTGCATCTGCGTCTTCTTCGCAATAACGATATGTTTCTACTCTAATACGCATCGTTCTTTCAGGATCGACTCCAAATAAATTTGTCGATGTTTAAAGCGACCATTGGCCGTAACATAGCGTGATCTCGCCAATAGTCCAAAAAGACTCCAATCTAGTCAGTTCCAGCGCTACTTGACAGGCTTCCCTTCTTTTCAACACTTCTCTCTATCTCTCTCTCTCTCCAGCGCTACTTGACATATTGTTCCAGTGAGGCATTGTTTTTACTCCGTGCCACTTCGAGTCCGAGCGCGGCCGCGGCGGTCCGATGTAGCCGATCGAGATACGCCAAAAGGCGCTCGTTGTCTTTCTGGGCTCACCGACTAAACCAGGCACGGATAGTGACTGCGTTCCTTTCTCTCTACGTCATTCTGCTTTAGCCGGTGATACTTAGCCACGTAGCCTTTGGCGCTGCTTGATCCGCTACATCGGGTCGTCGCTCTCATCCCAAGTGCAAACGGAGAGGCGTTGACGAAGAAAACCAAAGAGCGCACTCAAACGCGAATGTGTGAACCAGCCTTAAGCCGCTCTCACACTGTCGGTACATCGCAGAAGAAACATTGTTGAATGAAAAAACTCTTCAGACGTAGCGTGTATGAAGAAAAACACGATCATGCTGCTTCAGGTGTCTTGTCTTTCGAACGATGTACTACACATGGGGGGGGGGGGGGGGTTCGTCGAACCGACAGTGGAACGACGCAACGGCCGTCAAATTGCTTCCTTGCCAGTGCTACCGGAAGTTTGAGCCTCAGTGGCTCATCTTTTTCCGGGCGGTCTGCCGTGGCCCCCGTTCTCGTGCGCCGCTTTGTTGTTCGGATCGTGTTCGGCAAAACTCGGAATGAAGAGAGAGGGAGAAGGGCAGAAATCGTCGATGCACGCCGCGGACATCTACCAATTGAGGTCTGGCTCCGAGAGTATTTCGAAAAATAAGAAAAGAAACAAAAACGGTGCAGCCGTTAGGGGAACTCTTCGAAGGAATAAAAGCTGCCCCCGAGGCTACGCAAGTCTTCAGTCGGATTGCGATGACATGAAAAGTCCGTTTTCGATGCGAAGGAAAGTAGAACACCACCGCTTAAGATAAAAAAAACCGTACGAGAACCGCCGCCGGAAATGTGGCATGGTACATTTAAACGCGCGTACTTGTTTTTTCTTTTCATTTTTTTATTAGACCTTTCCTACGTTTATTGCTTTTTGATCGTCATTTTTTTGCGGCGATTAAAGCGCCTTAGGACGACTGAGGGGTTGGTATACATTCCGAGACAGATCAGGAGGAGATAATGACCCAAGTCGTGTTCGAAGATATTAATCTCGAATTCCAAGTGTCTTTACTGTATGATGCCGAAGGGAGCGGGAAGCTAAAAGTAAAAACGTAATAAAGTAAAATACAGCTTCACGAAGACCTTGTGAGGTGGGAGAGCATTGATACACCGGCCGAGCGCTCAAAAAATTTCTTCGCGCCGGGGATCTTGGGTATTCAGGCCACGAGTGATAAGGCTGGTATGTGGAATATGTAGCGAGCCCCACGCTGAAAATAATATTCCAGTTGTGGTGGCGGCATGCCGCGACCAGATGTGGACCGTTTCCCGTGGGAGGCGTTCGAAGCCTCCGACGGTAGGGTAGGAAGTAGAACGGTAAATCGTGATCAGACTCCCTGGTTGTGTTTCTGTTTGTTTGTTGGTTGATGTACTCCCGAAGTAAAAACAGGATCCTGTTTTTGAGGAAAACATCCACGTCCTCCGAACTGTCGTTTTCAAAACAAATCACCCAAATATTATTAAGGCGTGCATTTTTTTTTAGGTGTGGATCAACAAACGAACAAACAGAAAGACAAACAAGGAGTCTGATCACGATGTACAAGCATCGCATTAACGTACTGAGCCAGCGGTAAGAAAATTTACCTTCTGCTAAGATGCGATATCAACGTTTGCTCTAATCCGTCCGCGTACTTAAATCTACTTTTTTTTTTTTATCTATTCGTGATTCATTAGCAGTTTCATGCTGCGACTTCACAACTTTGCATGCAAACACTTTATATAAAGAAAATGTAACTTGCAATATATGTTTTCGCTTCGCCACCTGCCGAGACTACTACGCAAGTCTGCGACTTTTGCCGACGTGTTGTTACTAAACAGCAAAAATAAAATAGCTAAAAAAAAGAATTGAAAGGCCAGTAGAAGACATAAAAAGAAAATAAGAAAAACAGACACCGCTTTCCTCTACTTGTCCGTGTGTCTTTTTTTTTTTTTTTAATCTTCTTAAGCTGTATTATTTGTTCCGGTCATTCACCAACTCGCCCAACTGCACACCTTGGAAACGCTACTGAACTTCGTTACAATTCAGAGGCAAGAAATTACAATTTTACATTCTTATAGTATATTAATTATAGTGTAATATTGTACTACAAACACATAGAAAACTTAAGAAACGTAAGGCGTGTCTTATGATATTGGGCTTCTTACCTCGTGATTAGTTCTCCGTCGTTCTTTTAGGCTCTAGTGCCGTATTACCATTGGCTGCGGATTGATAGCCAGAGGCCCCGATCGTGCCAGAGCTGTCAGGGGCTGAAACATACCGTGTACTAAAATATATTAGATTACACCATAGTATATTATAATAAATATATGATACTTCTTTCCAAACATGAGAATTACCGTGACAAGTGTTACGCACTTGCGATTAGTGAGCTTTCCTATACGTTGAGCTGGCTAAACGGCGCTGGCTCGTGCGAATTGCGATCGGGGTGGTGTGACGAGGCGTAATGATTGTTCTGCTGCTCGTTATTCCCCGTTGTGACATTGACCGTTGGTCCGTGGACCTTGTCATACCGTTTGGGTGTTACACAGTCAGACAGCAAGGATGAGTTGTCGCAACGCGCTTTGCCGCGTGGAAAGAAGATTTTCTGCCGGACAATGCGGTTCCTGTACTTCGTCGTTAGCGGGTCTTGATGATCGGGTACATTAATGCTTCTCTATATACATCCGCGCAACGCCGTTCTGCTCACGATCTTCTAACGATGACATAAAGAACGTGTCGAAATTGTGGAAAAAACCTCGATCGAACCCGTACGGTGTCGAGAAGGGGTTTTGAACGTGGTAGAAGTAAGACGGAGGAAATGGCCCGAGCGTTACGCCAGACTGGTCCACTCGGTATTAATACTTGAATAAATCAATTCCTTGATCAATCACTGCCTCAATTAGTCAAGCGATGAATTCATCTTTTTATATGTTTTTGTTTTCTTATATACCGATGGATCAAGTTTTTGTTAATGTATATATTTGCATCTATCTGCAGACGTAGCCTTTGAAAGGGAGCACCGACAAAAATGGACCTTCAGAGCGATTTATCGAGATTCAAGAGTTGGGTTGTTCATTTATCAAAGGGAGTAGATAAATGTTCGCATCATTCAGGAGAGTGGATACTCACCTTCAATGACATTCCGGGAAGACACCGTGCCGCATTTAATTGATTAGATTTATCGTAGCCGAAGTTGAAGGCCGCAGCTGTGGTGACCTGTATGTAGGTCACGAAGGGATAGGGCCGTGCCACTGTGTTTAGCTCAACTTTATTCGAAAGTAGCCTAAAAGAACGGAAATTATGATATCGAGAAAACTAGGGGGTATCTTGTATAACCCAGGAAATGATTTCAGCAATCGCGGCATATCGGTGGTCTGGATGCTTGATAGCCTAGCTACCGCTGCACCAGTTCTACAACACCGGGACGCTCGTTGGCGGTTGACCGTGTAGCTTCCAATGAATTACCGTTCGGCGGATCGCTGGCTTCAATGCGGTGAGCGTAAGTGCGTCACGTGTAAGTCACGTGACGTGCCAATATCGAAATCATGCCGCGCCTCCAGCGACGAGCTCAGGAAACTCGGGCGAATAGCAGCTTGCGCATCTCCTTATGAAGCGGCAGGACATCGCGAAGTGATACTGTTTAGGCGGCAGTGATCAGATCTATTAAAACACTATACTGCCTCGGCGGCCCTTAATCCAAAAACCGGTTGAACTTGAGATTCCAACATTTACTCCGACTTAATGGAACGCATTAAGAAACTGACAAAAACGCATGGTCGTTTCACCATCTATGCCGGTGACATCCTCTGCCGTCATGCCATTGCTTCAGCCCTGCTCTTTGCACCGGGCACGCGCAAATGCTTCACTTGACGCTAATCTGGTTTCCGCGCAGTGCCCCCCCCCCCCCCCCCCAATTTGTGTGGGCGAACGTGAGCTTGTTTGTAAACTGTCTTGGCCTATACACTGTCTCAGATACGAAAACAATGACCAAGATCAGAGCGCGCGCTGCCTCCACATGTGACGCGACCAAGTGCGAGGGTAACGTTTCTGGCACACAGCGACAGCCTCTGGGTCAATGGCACCCATGATGAATCGCGGGGGGCCCAGCTTGGCCTTCGAGCCACGGTCTGGTGGGGATCACGTTTGGCGCGCTTGTCTCCGCCATCGTGGAGAGCCGATGGGAACCAGCCGAGGAGACAGGACCCGAACGCGTCGCACAGTCCGGCTGTCAGGCTTTTTCTGCTCGATCGCTCACGAAAGATCGTCTCCTACCCTAAAGACATCTGCACTTCATCGGGCACGTCGGGAGTTTGCGCGTCACCGCGAGAAAAAGGAGATGGATTGTGCGACGAGTGTTTCTTTGCTCGTCGGGCAAATGGTGATAATAGACAGCTGTGGACGTCCATCTGAATTGTCTCGCAGGGAATACACGGTTCCCTTTGTGTGAAGCAGTATAAGTATGTGTGTTGAAGATATATGTATGCTTTACTGGGTAACTGAAGGCGCATTTTAAGTGTTGTGATGCGAGTTCTTGAAGAAATGGTGTATTATCTTAAGGATAAGGGATACCAAACCCGTTTCTTTGGTAGCTCTAATTAAGAGCGAATATTCTTCCGAAACAAGAAACCTGATACGAGGGGAAGAAGAAGTTGGTTTTCTGAACGCAAACAAATAAGACAACAGGCGCAAGATATAAGCTGTCACAACGCGTGACTAATGTATACGGTTCCTACAAAAACAGATACGGGAAGATAGAGAACGGCATACATAAATTTGCTTTCGCTCTTACAACATCCAGGCTCCAGACGAATTCTACTCGTGATAGTAAGGACAAGTGGATTTCTTATCACAAAAGCGGGAATGTGTTTTGAAAGTGTCAGAGAGTGGGAGTCATCTTCTTATGGCTATTATTTTTTTTTTATCTGAACGAAAATAGTTTTCTTAGTCGTCGCTGTTTGATTAAGTGTGCAACTGTGCGACTTGGAAAACAGCTTCAGTTGTGGAGGACGTAGTAATTAACGCCGAATGATACTGAGCTAGACGTCATCCCACTGGTAAACCGAAATAATCATTCGCAAGATTCATCACCATGGCTTTGGACTACATCGCTACAACGAGAGTAATAGCCCTGACACTTCCACTGCCAAGTATGGTTCGCCCTACTTGAATCACAGTTTATCACCGCTCGGATTACCAGTCAAGCCACAAAGGTTTATCACGTCCGGGCATAGCCTCCTAAATACTGACAAAGCCTGGCAGATCGCCACGAGAAGCGGCCGCCGAAATAGAAAAGGCGGAGCGGCAGACAACAGATGAGAGGAGAGCCACGTGACTGGCGCCTTGCTGTGGCGAGACGCCGAAACATACTACTCCCGAACGAACAAGTTTGTTTCGAGCCCTCGCCGCTGCAAAAGCTGTGCGCTGACATCCAGGTTCCCCGAGGAATGGCTCTTTGATACTCTCTGCTACCAGATCCTCGTGCTCCAAATGTGTGATCGGGCACTCTATCGCTCCGTCGTCGAACTGTCAGGCTTTTTGAGTATAGAGGAGGCTATGGTCCGGGTTACCAAATCGTGGACACAGAATAACTGAGTGATTAACCGGCAAGATAAAAAAATAAATCATTTACTGGTTCTATTGTGATCTCGCGTAGAAGCGCGTAGACCGAGCTCCGCGGTCCAGTGCTCGCACTCCTGTTATTTCTTTTTTTTTTTTTTTGCTTTATTTATCTTTGGAGGTACGCTACAATACTCCGAACCGAGCGCCAATCTAAACTATATGTGTTTTCCTATAACAAAGGGGTTTGACAGGCAGGGCCAGCTTCAAAATATCTATTTTGTAACCACGCATCGCATTCCTCACGGCAACGGCGCATGTCGTAAGTGCGATCCCAAGTAAATCGACTAATCGTTGTCTCTTTATTTTCTTTCTCTCCCCAGAAGCGGCCAGTCCCTCGGAAGATCGGCGCGAGAAATCCCGGACACCGGACTCCGAAGACCTGATGAGCTCTGACGAGGGCAGCTTCCCGTCCCTGCTGCTGCGGCGGCTGCCCCCCGACGGGCACGAGTTCCCGAATGCGTACAGCGAGCCATCCCTGGTCCTCAAGGACCCGCCGTCTGATGACGTCCCGCTGAAGAAACCGGTGCACGTCTACGAAGACTCCGGCATCTTCTCGGACGACCCGTTGTCCTCGCTTTCCGCTTCAGAAGGAGAAGAAAAGACGAAGGTCGCGGTGACCAAGTCGAACAAGGAGAGTCGGCAGGGCGACGGGCGGGCCGTCGCGGACGTGGGCCAGACGGACGGAACGAGCTCCGACGACAGGGAGACTGAGTCTCCCGCTGGGACGCCTCCCGTCGGGGAGAGTATCGAACCGGCCAAAGAAGACGGGACACAGCCGACCACGTTCGCGTCGATGCCTTTACCTGTGCCGCTGCCGCAGTACTGTTCCCCGCTGATGCCGGACCGACGGGCTTCGGCCGAGGCCACGCAGAAGAGGTACTCCGGGATGTTGGCGTCTATGCTCGAGACGACCAAGTTCGGAACCAAGCTGAAGGGGCTCGTCATTCCGGATAAGCCGAAGTCCTCATCCACTGTCACCAAGACGATGCCGGTGATTGTCAGCAATCCTATCCCGTCTTCGGTGGTTCTTCTGGAAGACGCCAAGCCCAGGAGAGAGTTGTCGCCGCCACCGAAGCATACCACCCTCCTGGCGGACCCTCCATGGAAGGCCAAGGAAACCTCTGACGTGCCAAAATACTCACCCGCCTTCAAGCGGCGTTCCCTCCAGGTGTCCAAGTCTCTGGAGGGGCCGTCGCTGCGTACTGGTGCTCAAAACGGGTTCCAGTTCTCGCTGACGCACAGCAAGCCGGTGACTCCTGTCCTGCCTGAGACTCCCGTTATGTCGCCACCTCCCCTAAGTTACACATCTTCCGGGACCAGGTCCAGGTCCAACAGCAGCTCATCGACGTTTTCAAACCCGTCAAGCAGCGGATGTTCCCTGGAGACAACGAGGAAGAGCAGGCTGGATTCCTTCGGCGTGACGGAGGTTGATCAGAACCAACCAGTGATTACGGCTGTCGAGTCTGTGGCGAATGGCACATCCTACACGCAGTCGCCACTTCTGGAAAGGTACCTCTCTAGCTCCAGCTATGATAACAAAACCGCGGATGCGAGAGTTACGAGGCAATGCAGCGTGAAGAGCACCTCTTCCTCTGATTCTCGAGCTGAAAAAAAATCTTTCACAAACGGTGATGTGCCAAGTTCTAAATACGGTCGGCAACGCAAAAACTCTGCCGAAATGAAGCGCCTTAGCTCTGTCGGATCAACGGAATCTCTGACAAAAGCGACAACTACAGTGAGCAGCTGTAGTAGCCCTCCGAAACAAACACGGTCCCCTAACACCGAGACGAAATGTGACGAAAGCGTGAAATCCTCAAAAACGTGGGAGGTTACGTCTCTTAAGGATTCCAAGAAAAAGTTCCGCTCTATGGACGACCGTAGCTGGAACTCTCAGTTCAGGCGGCACTCGTACGAGCAACCTGCTTACTCTGTAAGGGTGAGCAGCAGTTCGAGCTTGAACATCGATCAGAAGGCAAAGTCCTTCGACTCTAAAGAAAGTCCCAGCGAAGCATGGCAGAAGAGCGTCCGAGCCAGTCAGTTGGGCCAGCAGAAGACGGTACTTAAGAAGACAATTGACAGCGCCGACAGCGCAAAGAGTTTCAAAGCCCTTGCCCAGAAGTGGGAACAAAGGTCCCAAGATGCCCAGGTAAATTACATTCACCCGATCAAGAAGGACACAACGACCGTCGTCAACGGAAAAGCGCCAGTTTCGGTCTCGCCCACGGCTCAGCGACACCATACGTCCACCAACGGAAGAGCGACAGGTTCAAACTCTCCAGATGCCACCTCTGTGCAGCTGCGCTCCCCGAGGTCCCCAATTTCGAGACCATCCTCCATGTACGAAGAAAGAGACAAGCCAAGGCTGAGCCCAGAATGGACGGAAGCCCCATCCTCTTCGTACCTGCGAAGCAAACCCGCGGAACGACCGGTCAGCGTAGCCTACCGAAGCACGAAGAACTGCTCGTCGTACCTCAGCGTGAACGACATCAAGAAGGCATTCGAATCGGAGGTCGCCAAAGTCCCTCCTCGTACGCTCGCTTCGCTGAGGGTCATGAGATCGGAGCAGCAGTTGCCGCTTCCGGAGCACCGTCGGTTCTCGTCCATCGACTCCAACGACTCCGGTAACAGCACGGCCTCCAGGGAGCAGTATTCCTCGATGACGTCTCTCGCCTCGACGAGCAGTCTGATTTCGCCGCAAGAGCTGCAGCAGCTCATCGACGAGGCGAACCAGTCGTTGGACGAAGCTGGAGCCTCTGGGCACGATATTCACGTGGTCATCCTCCATAAGGACTCTCCAACGAGCGGGCTGGGTGTCACTCTTGCTGGCGGCTCGGACTACGAGACGAAGGAAATTACGGTAAATTACGCACGACACTCGTCGAGATCTTGTTTTCTAGCTTTGCATTTTGTAACGATGCTAACGTTACTGTAAACTTGGGATTTATTTAAACGGATCTTGATTGGCAGATATTCACCTACTCTTGCTCTCTAACCAGAGTGTCGAACCGGAACCGAACCGACCCGTTATTTTAGCCGAACCGGAACTGAACCGAACCGAAATCTTTGCCGCCATCTTGGAACTGAGCCGGAATTTAACCGGAAAAAAATAGAACGGTAAGGCGCTTCAAAACGCTCGCGGTAATTTTTTTAATTTTTTTTTTATTTTACAAAATGAGTGTTTGAGAAATATAAATTGACATATGTATGATTATGTAGTGATCACATTGTCATATGTATAAAAAATTGTTTTTTTTTATTCGAAAGCATTAACTGTCTCATGGAGTGGAGCCGGCAGTGTCTGCAATCGCAAAAGAATGCGAAAGAAATGCCCACTCACCCATTGGCTAAGCGAAACGGGTCCTAGATAGCCATTGGCGGTGTCATATGCCGGATCGGCCTACCAGGTGGCTGGGGACGAGAGTAAGCGAAAAAGGTCTATAGACCAACACGCTGTTTACAAACAAGCCGGCGTTTGTCCACACCAGGTGTGGGCACTGCGCGTGCGCAGAAACCGAATTCCCGTGAACTGAAGGGTCTGCGCATGCGCACTGCCGTCGACAGCGCCACCGCAGATGAGTGACGTCAGGGCCGCGTGTTGGTCTATACGCGTTCGCAAGTCAGACTTCAGGGCGCTGCCATCTTGCTCGACTGGGGTGCTCTCGGACACGCCCTAATCCAATTACGAAGCCTTGCTAAGGCGTCATAATCGGATCATGGCCGTGCCCAAGCGCACCCCATTGGGCAAGATGGCGGCGCCCTGAGACCGGACTTTCAAACGTGTTATAGCTGTCGACACCAACCTTGCAGCGTTAGTGCCCCCCGAATTTCTGAGGGGAACCCAAATGTTGGGGCCCCTTATTTGAAAACTCTCTATTGTGTTGTAAAACTTCTTCTGCTCCGCATCTTCGGCACAAACCAGAAAGCTCGGTCCCGGAAACTAAGCTTGCGAAAGCACTGCCAGAAAGCGTAAGCGTTATCGTTGTGCCAAACGCCTCGCGCCGTTCCTCACGACGCTGCACTAAGCAAGAATAATTTTGTTTCTCGAATAAATGGCTTGCACTGAGCGCGAACTTTCTGCAGCATGCATATTGCAGCACAGGATTTGATTTTCTCAGCAGCTAGCAAAAGTTGGTGTCCAAATAATAAAGTTGCGCAGTAAATACACTCTAAAAGAGTCTGTGCGTCTACTTTCACGCTCAACACTCGGAGAGCCAATCACCGCAACTTACGAACTTACGGAGGCAGCTCAGCGAATGATGATGCCGAAACATATGTTTAGACCAAAAAGGGCAGACTGAGTTGTGACATTAAGCAATGCAAGCGTGACGTTTTGCGTTGCTTAATGTCACAACTCAGACTGCATTTTTTGGTGTAAACATGTTTCGGCACCGTCATTCGCTGAGCTGCCACCGTAAGTTGCGGTGATTGGCTCTCCGAGTGTTGTGCATGAAAGTAGACGCACACACATGTTTTAGAGTGTATAGCAGTCCTGCGATGGTGTGCGGCAGCCTACTGAAATGTTAAAGAGCGCATGACTGATAAAGCAGAGTTACAAAGTTAGTGCCCAAAACAAGTGCACGTAACATAACATTAGCCTCCCGAGACAGCTTTTTGCGAAGTTTCGAGCTCGTGCAAGCCAATGCCCAATTGTGATTTATATTTGAAATATATTGCCTGTCCTTCGCGCTATTTATGTATATTTAGGAATATTTTTTTACATTCATCTCTATGTAATATTTTTTGCAGTAAGACGTTGCGTATGGGATTATTGAGAAGAATACAATTTATTATCTCTCTTTCTGCACATTTTGTGTATTTTCCTTCAGATGTATTATGTGAGCACACAGTCCTTTTCGGCATACCCCACGACTCGGTGTTTTACAGTGCCAAATGACGAACAATAAAACAACTCAACAGCTGGCGTATTTTCGAGTATCGTCCTCCCGTGTCGGTCTCAAGCAGTTATGTGAACTTCGTACGGTCAAATCTATTGATGATAATAAAAATATATTCAATCACTTACCGAAGATTTGAGAAAGTAAATAAAGGGCCGATCACCTTAAAGATATACTTCATAAGTAAATGCACCCCCAAATTATCTCAAATATAGTCTGCAAATCTTTTCCGGCGTTTTTATCCTCGATAGTCACGTATATATTTACCTTCTCAAACATACCGACGTCTGCTATTGCCTCATTTAGGGGATGGACAACAATCTTATACGTGTGTGGGCTGGACAAAAACAGAGAACCCAGGTGCGCACGGAGGAACTATGACGATTGCACGCACAGACCGCTAGAAAACGACCAATTAAGTATTTGCTATGTCGAGTAGAGCATGAAATACTACTTTCTTCTATTGAACAAAAAATCGCCAATTAGCAAAGGTGACGCTTATTTTAGTATCGAATTGACTGGTATCTTGTCAAGAATAAACCCCAACTGCCAAGCTAGGCCTAATATGTTCACTTGGGTACGCGCTGTATTTGGACAAATTTTATCTGAATACGAAAATGCGAAAATATTATGAAGAACATGTTTGATTACTTTTTAGTCTTTACTGCATGATTATTCGTCTGGATCACGGTGCTGAATGTAAACAATGTTGGTCAGAAAAACAAGAGTTGTGATTGCCGCTCAGTGTTTCTATAAATGGTAGACGAAAGGGCTTGCCCTAAAACTTTCGTTACATTTTTTTTTTAAATATAATTCTTTTAGCTCAGCTGCGCCATCATCATATATATTGTGAAACATATTTCGCAACCAAGATTTCACGATATATATGGCGAAGAGGTGCCCATCTTATGGTTTTATGCATTGCAATTAATTCCCAAGTTCAAGAACACAACTAGGGTTCAACTTTTAATACTGCGACGTAAAGTCGCACCAATCGCGGGTATTTTAGGCGAGCTTCCAGACCTAGGGATAACCTTTCGATTCAGGTAACATATATGCGACTGAGGTTCAGTCGCATAAACAGAACGTTTTGTATGATTATCTAGATCGTTTTCAGCTTTGACGAAATGAAATAGCGCGATTTTCTATTTTTGGTACCTGAAAATAAACGTGGATTTTACGAATGATGAAAATCTATATAGTTACTCATTTAGCCGTTCAAATAGTGCCTATTGCCAAGAAAACGCGGAAAATATATTCTCAATTTAGCGGTTCAAACCGGTTCGAACTGTTATTTTTGCTTCCCGAAACTGAACCGAAAGTCGTGAATCTGAACCCAAATCGAACCTATAAAAATTTCGGTTCGACACTCTGCCTCTTCATCAGCAATCAGCAAATCTAAGAACTTAGGTGCTGCGTGTACCCAGTTCTTACAAATCTTAAGAGTACCAAAGAATTCCTTAAGCTTTTTCTTGTTGTGCACTACGTATCAACAAACGTCCTGAGGCAGTTTCAACAAAAACAACTAACTGAAGCATTGTTTCGCTCTTTTCAAGTAGTACTCACTAAAGTCATAGTGAAAGTGTTTAAGTATCTTTTCATATTCTCACCCTTCTCCTCCATCACAAGGTAGCCATCTGGGACAATATCCAGGTTAACCTCTTTGTTTTTTGTTCATTTTCCTCTAGGCTCTACGTTGGTCACTGGGAAGCAATATTTCTAGTAATGCGCGTAACATTTTGCACGCCTGAATATTTTATTCATTTATATTAAATAATATTTGAATTATTCGGAGTAAATAATCATGCGTTTAACACATATTTTTGTACTCTGGAAGCCACGAGAAACACTCTGCTATTCCAACCGCTATTCACACACCCGTACCTTTGACTCTAAATTTGCACATTTCGCTCTTTCGCTGACGTACCTTCACTCGCAGGTGCACAAGGTGATCGCAGGCGGGCTCGCCGACCGGGACGGTCGCATTCGAAAGTCGGATCGGATCCTGTCCATCAACGGGAAGACGATGAAGAACGTGACCCACAAGGATGCCATCGACATCCTCAAATCTCCGAGGCAGGAGGTGGTGCTGGTCCTGTCCAGGGAGGGCCGACAGTCGGTCCGAACGACGCCCAACATCAGCAGGGCCTCCAGCCTCTCCTCGGTCCTAGACGTCGTCGACGAGCCGGAGGTGGCCCCCACCACCGCCGCTGAAGCTCAACAAGCGCCGGCACCGACGAAGCAGGGTGCGTGTAACCTGGGGTCACCCGGACGCCTATTCGACACTCGGAACAAATTCGTTGCTGCTCGTCTCACTGACAGCTTACGAGACACACGCCGTTGCGAGCCCCAAAGACTTTATGATCCTTCCTTAGTCAAGAACAAATCAAGAAGAGGTATGAGCCCAGTAAGAGACGGCCTGCGTTTTCTGAACTGTCAGATATTATGCAGTTTCTGACAAACTAAGAAACTTCGGCTGTTTCAACCCATGAACGATAGCAGATTCTCAGAAACAGTAAAGTCCTGGGAAAGTAGCGCCATCGCCTTCCCTACCTGCTAGCCGGACACAAACGGATACAAACCTACAGACGACCAAAACCTCGCGAGCCGATTGGCTAATCTGTTTACGTCGCCATGAAAATCGCCATCTCGCTCCATTCAAATCTTGGAAGCTTCCAGAAGGTCGTTCTAAACCAGCCGCGCCAAGATCACCATGGAGCATCATCGTACTGGAAGCGTACGTTAATTCCGTGCCACTATAAGCGTCTTCGGCACTGTGTATGCAATCTACTTATCAATGGTTCCCACCTCCACGGATACCTTACAATTGTATATATTGTTCTTGCGTATTTCAAAACAGCAAAATTATTTTCCAGTGCCTCCAAGCACCGACACAGCATGTGCTGGTGGTACGAAGATGTACGCTTTTTTCGCCGGTATGTGGATAGCGCGAAATCTTGGTATACAAGAAACGTCTCTATAAAGCTACCCGTCAACAGGGAATTTAGATCGGCTCACAAAGAACGGAGAGGTCAAGGAGAAATTGCTCATTTCACGAACCAAGATGGCAACCAGATGGGGAGCTTGGCGCTACTTTCCCACGGTCCAGTTACTTTAAGAAACAACAAAGCTCTGCCCTGTGCTCAAATCCGTCTTGGAATATGTCTCAATGGCTGAAGGGTGCTAAGACGGCCGGAACTAGCTACCCAAGCAGCACGTATTTTGGCCAAGCAATGGCCAACGGCTGGTAATGGTCCTGTGGCCAGTGGCCAAAGAGTGGCTATTCATTGGCCAATGCTTGGCCAATGGCTAATGGCCAGTGGCCATTGGCCACTGGCCAGAGGAAGGCCAATCTCTGGCCACTCTCTAACCACTGGCCAAAGGACCATTGCCAGCCATTGGCCAATGCTTGGCCAACCCTGTGCTGCTTGGGTACGCTCTCTTATAGGGAAGCTGAAACACTTCATTAAAAAAAAATGAGGTAGAGGCATAGTTTTACCCCGTGAATCTGAACATCAGGTTCGTTTTCCCCGAAGATGTAACTAAACGCGGGAAAACACGAAAATCCTCCGACCAGTCGTGACGTCATGATTGGATCTTTCGGCGGCCAGGCGCGTGTCGCTCGAGGACCGGAGGTGCAATTGCAAGCTTGCTATAGTCGGTGACAGGTCAAGAACGAAGTAGAAGCACCTCCCACCTCTTTTCACTTCAGCGGAGCGAACGCTGGAGTGGAGGCGACGTCCTCTCCACCGTTCGCTACGCTGAAGTGGAAAGGGGTGGGAGGACCTGCCACTTCGTTCTCCGCACTCGCACCAGTCGTGACGTCTTTCTTTCGCCCTTCTTAAAACCGCTGAAGGCCCTCCTTCCCGGAGCGTGACGTTAAAAAAATTAGTTTTCGGAATCTCCGCTCGCCCGCATCTTTAGCGACTATAAAAGCGCGAGAAGCAGGCAATTTGCTCTCCTCATACGGCGAGCAAGCGTTTTAAAATCCGCGCGCCGGAACGCAAAGAAAGGGCACGCCAATCGAAAGCAACACAAAGAGCGCGTAGAAAACACGCGATGACAAAAAAAAATCAATCAATGTTTACTTGGACATATATCTAAAGTACAAATGTCCTTGAGTTTCGGATAAAGGAGACCAAAGTGTCTCCTGACGAGGCCATCACCTCGGGTTTGCACATCAGACAGCAAAACGTGCTCATAAAAAAAAGTATACAGTACATTTCTAGGTTTACCTAGCACAAGCGCATTGCGAGGGGCGCCAACAGCTCAATTGATAAGCAATAAGAAGGAAATCAAAACACACACGATAAAGACATTACGCACAGAAAAGAGATGGTCATTGTCGAGTTACTGTTGAAATATTCAAATCGATTTTATTAGTTATAACTAAGAGTAGACAAAAGAAAGAATGCTATAGTTTTTTTTTAATTGATAGATGGCTCTACTTTCTCGAGCACATTCAATTAGCGAAGGGTGCATATTGCATTAGGCTCTACTTTGATTATCAACAGTTTGGATACCATAGTTTGTAAGAGCCTGGACCCCACCAAGGATATGATGCGTAGGTTCTATGCCATATTGTTTGATAGATATTTTTTGGGCAAAATAAGTGAAGTTGTGCTTAACTTTGTAATATATTAAAGTAGCTAGGCAGAGACTATAAAGCTCAGAAAATGATAATATGACAAGTGTCTTATATATGCATCTGTTATCAACAGTTTTACGAACAAACATTGTTTCTAGGGCTTCTCAGAAAATGGTAATATGACAAGTTTCTTATATATTCATCTGTTTTCAAGAGTTTTACGAATAAACTTTGTTTGTAGGGCTTTTTTTTTTTTTTTGAAGCGAAAGAAGTCGATACGAATCAGTCTTATCGCACGCACCCCAGACAAGATGACAATGCGCAAGGTGCGAGTGAACTAAGGAGAAGTATAATTGTTTTTTTTACGCTCAGTGATAGCAGGTATTTTAACCGGTATACAAATCTAATAGATATGGCCGTTTTTATTCGTACGTTGTTAATTGGATCAGTCCAATTTAAATCAGTTTTAAAGGACACCCCTAAAAATTTACCGGCGTTTTCTGTGTAATTTTACAAGTGTCGATGAACAACGCTGTCATAATGCAAAGGCTTATTGTTTGGATGAAAAATTATTAATTTTGTTTTTTATACATTTAAGTCAATTTTGTTTATGCTAAGCCAAATTGGTAGCTGACTGAGCCATACATTTCAACACCGTTCGAGAAAAACAAGATCTGTACCTGAAAAGAAAAAAAAACATGTTGGTATCATCAGCGTATAAAATTATATCAGGAGTTGAGGGGCTGTTAACACTATCATTTATGTACAGGATAAAAAGTAACGGGGCCCAGAATGGACCCCTGTGATACGAAATATTTTACTACACTTATCTCGGATTGAATTTCAAGTTGCTGCTGCACGAATGCCATCATGCCTATTTTTTATAAAAATTTCGTGCTTAATAGAGTCGAATGCTTTACAGAAGTCGAGAAAAGTCCCGACAGTAAAGAGTTTTTGTTCAATGTTATCAAGTATAAGTTCTTTAAGGTCTAATATTACGGTTTCAGTCGATTTACCTGTTTGAAATCCATATTGCTGTTTACTAACTACTTTTCTTTTTGAGCCTCTAAAAAATCGTACATTCTTTTGTATATAATACACTCCGCATTTTTAGTAAAAAAACAAGAGCACAAAGATTGGCCTATAGTGGCCGAGGTCATTCTTGTTTCCACCTTTATAATTTATCGAAACAGGCGCAAATGTAATTTTCTTGAGAAAGATGCCAGGAGATTAGCATTCGGTTACAAATGCAAACAAGTGGCGATGTGATAAAAGCGATAGCAATCATAATCGAGCGCTGATATCGTCGTCGCCGGGCGAGCACGTATTTTTAATGCTTTTACGATGGATGTATTTTCTTGTCCTGTCCTAGGCGTTAGAAGCAAAGAATCATAGTAAGTAGCACCTCTTCCAAGAAACGCTCGTTAACATAATTCATAAGTGACACGCCAGAGAAAACAGTTCACTTATGTGCAATGCAAAAAACAGTCGCGTTTTTTTTTTTTTTTGTCTTTTATCATATTATTGACAGCTGCCCAGAGAAGTTTTGGGTTATGAATAATTGGGGAAAATTTATTTTTATACTATGCAGATTTTACCTTTTTGTGAACCATGTTTAATTTGCTTTGATAGTTTTTCATTCGACTAGCCGAGCCTGGTCTCTTGTTTCTAAGAATCGGTAAAACCGACACTTTTTCCGTTTAATACGTTTAAATAATGCTGATGTAATCCATTCTTTCTTTGCCCTTTCTGTACTTTTCAACAAGAACACGTGGAAATGCGATGTTCTATTTTTAAGTGTTTTTTTTTTTTTTAGGACGATGTTGACGGGTAAGGCTCATTATATATTTCGTCCCAGTTTGCTTCGGCCATCAATGTACAAAACTGAGAGATGCTGTTAGAATTAGTTATACGTCGCGTAAACCTAATCGTTTCCAGTTGTCTTTTTTATATTACGAAAATTAAAGCAAGTGATCACTTACTGCAAACGAGAGACTCCCGGCATACTCTTCTCCTTAGGCAAATTTTTAAAGCATACATCATTTAACGTTTTTGAACGTTGACCGATCGTGTCGGTAGGTCAAAAACGTTTTCACATCCGTATAAGAGCATTAGTTCAAGTACCTTTATTCGGATGGAGTTTTTTGCAACACTGTGCCATTTATTTAGAAATGACTCAGCTTTTTTTTAACATGTCCGTATTACTGTGGCAAGGACGGTACGGTAGAAGTACAGCAGCATCATGATGGACTATACTAATTGCTTCAAGGTCATTTCGTAGAACAGTGTATTCGCACAAAATACCGAAGAAAAATTTTTTTTTTAAGTATAGGATACTCCACTTCCACGTTTCTTTTCTCGAAATACAGACTTAGTTGCGTACTCAGATGTCTCTGTGTGGCATCGGTACCACTGGCGTACCAGGTTTCTGTAAACACTATAATATCAAAGCGACGTGAAAGCTGCTAGAGATCAACCTTGATTTCTTCACATTTATTTCTAAGGCTTTGGACATTTAGGTGATAAAAAGCAAAAACTTGACGAGAGCCATTATTGTTTCTTTTCAACGAGTCATTAAAAGATTCATGCGAAAAGTAATAAGAAATGGTTGTTGCTAGTTACAAAAGAGTTAACAAAGACAAGAGGGCATTTACGCTGTCTTGTTTATATCATCTTCAGAAGCAATCCTTATCGCACGGGCGTTTGGCTCTTCCCTTACAATAACTTTTCCCTCAAAATACCACCCGAAACGGTTCACGTTTCGTGAACCGTTTCGTCAGCTTCTTGTTTAGTCCAATCAGAGTCTGGTCGGTGGGAGACCAAAGCAAGTGGGCGCATTTGTGGGTGATCAAATGCACGAGGTGAGCGAGGATCAGACCAACTTTCTCACCGTATAATCTCCGACAGTAGAAACGCAGGTTAAACATTTTACACCCGAAATAACCGTATCCGCTGTGGCACTAAATACGACAGCGCAGGCTCTTTATTTAAAGATCTAGACATATTGTCAGCTTCGTTATTCGCTGAGCGATGTGCTCTACCAAGTGCTTTGCGGGACACTCCAGATTTCTTACAGCGTAGTCTGTTTATAGAGACATGTTCCATTAACCACGTCAAAAGCTTAAATGCCACATGCTACGAGTTTATTACGTAGAAATCACTCGTTATTTTACCATTTTTAAGGGGGTTTGGCAACATTGAATTGTCACTTTCGCTTGTCACTTGTCTCCTTTTTTCTCATTACGTTCGAGTGGTATTCTCACATCACAAAAACGCATCTGTCGTGTGGCACTATGACTTACTTGTCTACCGTGACTCGTCAAATGGCAGCTCACGAACAATAAACCTAGGGACGATGGATGTGTGAGGCTTAATCTTTCCCTCAAATCGCAAAGTGCACTTCGACTAACGAGGCGGTATTTATCCCGTTTCAGAGAAAATTGTCCTGGTGAAAGATGGTCTCGGCTTAGGGTTCACGCTCGAAGGTGGCAAGGATTCTCCACTGGGTGACAAGCCGCTAGTCATCAAAAGGATTTTCAGAGGTGAGCCTGACTTCTTTGAGCTTTGGAAATAATAAAGGCCGGCTCACTTATTTCCGTTCGAATGTGATCGACTGCATTGCGACCACTTGCCACAAACACACTGGTTCAAACCATAGGGTAGCCATGCCACGCTCCCCAACTAGATTCGAATCATTTTTTCGCCTTGCGCTCGAAATAATTCTTACGACTTATAAGCGACCATTTCTCACATATCACACGTAGATCTGATGTCGCATACAAAGCAAAACGCTCTGTTTAGCTATAAGCAGATCGGAAGTATTTCAGGGCTCCCTAAGAAATAATGCCTCTGTTTGTTTGTTTTATTTTTTTTTTTTATGTATGCGGTTACACGCGGTTGATACTCAATCGATCACACTCAAAGGGAAGTGTGTGAACCAGCCATGAAAGTAAACCTTTCTGATACGGCTTGTAGGAAGAGGAGGTGTGTGTGTCTTTCTCTGTGAGTTAGGGAGAGGGCGCCACAGTATTTCTGTTTTCAGTTTCCTCCAGAAACTTTACGAAACAACAGAGGAGCTAAGGTGAATGCAACGCTTCCTGAAGCGTTTCGTGACTAACGTTAGAGAATAAAGATAGAGAGAGAAAGACGATGGGTAGATCGGTATGGGGTCGGGAAGAATGTCTGCAACCTTTAGCACTTCCAAACATGTGTGACTTGAAGCCAGTGGGTATTTTCAATATTGACACCAGAAATGAACGCGAACGGTCATTATGGACTTTGACGTACTTCCCATCAAGCGGAGCCGCCTTCACGTGACATCAGGTAATCCCAAAAATCATTAGCACCATTCTTTCTAAGGAAGGGCTTTAATTTATTCTTCAAGAGGTAGAAGATGATTGCCAAAAAGATCACCCTGACTCAGTATTTAGGCAATGTGATTTCCAGCATCCACTATAGAGCGAACCAGAAAACGGGACTCAGTCTCTTCATGAAGTATCTTTGGATGAACTGCAGAATTTGAGACGGTCTGAAATGTACACTCTGAGAAATCTGGAACATCCTCGTTTCCGCAAAGCAGCTGGCTGAGCCAATTGCTGAATTTTCTACGGAGGAACCTCGACGAGTGACGAGGCTGAAATTAAGTTTAGACCTATACGGACAGCAAGTCGTCTGCTTCTTGTGCAGGAAACGTGGTGACGTCAGAACGACGCCGAGCTCTTATTGGCTGATTAAATAAAATACTCGGTAGACCTCAAGGCATCTAGCATTGAGGTCTACCCACTATCTTTTCAATCAGCCAATAAGAGCTCAGCGTCGTTATGGCGTCACCACGACTCCTGACCAAGAAGCAGACGACTTAAGGATTCTTCGCCGTGGCTCTGAGCATGGTAGAACGTCATAGTTAGTGTCACAGTCCACCCCACGGTTTCTCATGTGTAAGCATCATTTCAGCCTCGTCATTCATCGAGCTCCCTCCATAGATTGCAGCGATTGGTTCACCCAAGCGTTTTGTGGGAAAGTAGGCGCTTCATATTTCTCGAGTATTGTCAATAGATGTCACTGCGCCTGGGGGTGGAGGGTAATGATACTTGTGCACATAGTTACACGTGCCGTTTTAACCGTAGTTAGGCCGACGGCGCTTAACTGCCGACAACTATGCTTACAGCAGGCAACAGGGGTGTAGTCAGAGGGAGGGCTCCAGCCACCCCCCCCCCCCAGATCCAGCCGACCCTATAATAAACACATGCATTTCGAGCCCCCCCCCTCCCCCTCTCCGCACCCTAAGTCATGTACATCCCAATCACCCTCAGCTCCCCTCCCCCCCCCCCACCCCCCCGAAAATAATTCCACTGGTAGGCAGCACTGGGAGGGTATTAGGCTGACCTTCTGCTCCCAGGTGAAGCAACAAACGAAAAAAAACACGGAGTCACGTGATTAATAATATGATCACGCGACAAGATATTACGCTTGTTTTCTGTGGTAGAGAAGAAAAAAACTATCAAAACCCATAAAATAAACACGAGCCAAGGCAACATAAGAGAAGCCACAGTGCAATCGATAGAATCTTGCCAACTGCCACGGGTGTAAAGACGGGAGCAGAGTGCGGCAAACCCTGGGCGCTGACATCGGGGGTCCCGAGAGAAACTAGAAGAAGGAGAGCGATAAAAGAGTAGAAAGAAGAGACTGACGAAAGGTTAGGAGTGTTTGTTTTGCCTCGAGGAGGCTGAATTTGATCGATTACTTGTCAACTTTGTTTATTTTTATAGAATGCGCGATGGACAGTGTTTTCATTGGAAGTAAGCAAGAAAACAACTAGAAAGAACACATTATGTTACGCTGCTTCTTTATGTAAAGGGTAAAACAAGGAGACGCCAGGCTCTTTAAATCGACTGGAAAGTTCGGTTTCTTAACCTATCACGCTACGACTTTGTGCAGCGTTGCCCACAGATGGTGCATTGTTTTTTGAAAAATTTGCGAACGGCGAACTTACCTGAGGAAAAAGTAAAAAAAAGAAAAAGACTTAGCTCCTATGGAAACGCAGCGACGCCACCGGTCTGCAAACAACACGGCGCCGTTTCGCACGGGAGACAAGAGATGGCGCAACAAACGCCGCCAACGAACGAGCATACGGCGCCGAGAGCAGGCCTTTTTAGTAGACGATCTTTTCGACTCAAAAGCGGCGCGCGTTCCGCAGGCAGCGACAGTTTCAGAAACAAAAAAGACAGGCCCGGTAACAGCAAGGACCTGCAGTTCCTTGTCTGCAAAAGGGCCGGCTCTCTGCGTCGTCTGCTCGTTCGTTGGCGGCAGTTGGCGTCGCGACCGCTTGCGCCATCTCTTGTCTCCCGTGCGAAACGGCGCCGTGTTGTTTGCAGACCGGCGGCGTCGCTGCGTTTTCATAGAAGCTAAGCCTTTTTCTTTCTTTACTTTTTCCTCAGGTAAGCTCGCTCTTCGCAAATTTTACAAAAAAAAATGCACCATCTGTGGGCAACGCTGCACAAAGTCGTAGCGCGATAGGTTAAGAAATCGAATTTTCCGGTCGATTTAAAGAGCCTGGCGTCTCCTTGTTTCATCCTGTATATTGAAGGGGCGATGCAACGATTTTTGTACTTTGCGCAAATACCGCTTAGAACGGATCCCTAGCGTCAATGACCTATGAAACGCGCGTTTGTATTTCGCCCCACGCAATAGAAGTCGCAGGAAAAAATATAAGAAAAACGAGCAGCGTTCATTTTGTCAACTCGCAGCCAGAACAAGCGGCCAAGTGATGGAGAGCCGATTATGAGCCGCCAATGTTGATCATAGCCTCGCGCTGGGGTTGGCGAAGCCATAGCCTCCTCTAAACTGACAAAGCCTGGCAGATCGCCACGAGACGCGGCCGCCTTAAGTGAAAAGGTAGAGCGGCAGACAAGAGGCATGTAACGGGCGCCCCGCTGCGGCGAGACGCCGAAACACGCTTGTCTCGAGCGATGGAATGTCCGTTCGTGCTTCTCGCGTTCCTCGCTCTACCGCTTCTTTTCTCGTCGGGTTTGAAATCCACGTTTCGGGTCCTCGCCGCTGCAAAAGCTGTGCGCTGACTACAGGCTCCCCGAGAAATGCTGTGTGCTACCTGATCCTCGCGCTTCAAATCTACGACCGGGAACCCTAAGGCTCCGTAATTGAACTGCCAGGCTTTGTGAGTATAGAGGAGGCTATGGCAAAGCACAGGACACGCACTGAGTTCCAGACATTGTTATGGTTCGGCTAGGGTCGCCATTGCAGCGATTGGACACGGGCCACTACCCGAATGCTTCTCGGGCTATCGATTATCCCGAGCCGAAATCGAGTCGGCACGCAGTGCTCGGGTCCAATCTATGAGCCGCATTCAAACATCGTCACTGGTTTTGCTGTGATCCCCCAGTTACGTCATCAAGTTTCGCGAAGGAGGGATTGAATGAAAACGCTCGCTTTTGTCCTTGAATTTACACCGTAACAAAGGAGTTCCTTGGCCAGTGGCGTTGCGTGCAAGTATCCTTGAGTCCCACTATACCTTGTCTCATCCTACAATGGACTAAAGGCCAAAGCCACAGGCCGCCAGGTCCAATCACGTTCCACGCTATACTATGACACGCTTAACATTGATTAGGGGTGGACGAATGATGCTCCGAATTCAAAAACGCCGCACCATTTCTGTAGCTTCGACGCTGCAAAGAGCCTATATGTCGTAGCTTTCTTTCCGATGTAAAATTGTTGAGTCACTCAGTGCACTTCCATTCGAACCACTGTCCACCCATCCCCTCATCAGTGAGCAGAGACGCGGGCCCCGATACGTGCATCCAAACGAAATAACGCACAATTTCTAAGTGGCTCGTGATTGGATCTGGCGGTTCGTAGCTTTTGCCTTTAGTCCATCGTAGGGTGAGACGAAGTATAGCGCCAGTAAGCTCGTGTGAAAACATTCCAATTGAATGAATATCGTTGCACCGCCCCTTTAAGACGTCGTCAGCGATATGGGCCCATTGGGACGACCAACTGAGATCACCGATGCCCGCGTCTATACCCGACCGTTCCGAAGCGGCCCAAAATAAAATACATAGGACCTTTCCATCTAGATTATTATATTCAATCTATGCCAGCAAGATTGATTGTGTCAATTCCAATGCGGCTTCCCAATTGTCGGGGGTATTCGATCCCGCTCATATAACTAAAGTTTGTTTAAAGTTTGTCTGATATGGCTTTCCTTGTTTTGAAAGACGACAACAAACGTTGAAAATTTGTGTCTGCTATAAGGTGTGCGATAAATATGCACGTCAAATGCAGTCATGCAATAAGGACTTAACTGCACAAGTCTCAAAGTATCTTGTGCTATTTCTGACTTTATTTTTGGTTTAAGTTACGTCGTTGAAAAATTTGGAGACACATGCGTATATTGAGGGCCTTTTTTTATTGACATCTCCTTTAAGGTTTTGAAATTTGTCGAATTGAGATTGATATTTTGAAAGGAGAGCAGGTCACTTCTGGAGAGAAGCTCTGAACTGTGAGCATGGGTGTACGTTTCCCGCTACTAGACATGCGGGTGTTCGCTGTCATCTGTTGCGGTTTTTCTTCCTTCGCCTTCAAAAGTCAAAGATAAAGCATAAATTAACTCTCATAGTGAAAACATTATAACGACTTTGTTAGAAACTTCAGGGTGGCGCTTGAAGAAGCTGCACCTCTTAACAGAACGTCGACTGCCCCTTGGAGGTTTCTAGGAGGTTCCTGTTGGCAAGTTCGTGTCCACCTGCATCTACCAAATTACGAAAACAAAACGGGGACATGGAAGACGATACAGGCGACACAGGGCTGGACTTCTATGTCCCTCTCTCGTTTTCGTAATTTAGACGCCAACACGCTCAACCATACCCAGCTGAGACTGTATTTGCGTTTTGTTTTGATCTTGCTAATTGCCTATTACTTCGAGGTCTGTGACGTTCTATGACGTTCTTTATACACCGCAGTTGTCTTCCCACAGTGGAAGAGTTCAAGATCGACCCTTGTTTTCCTGGTACCGCCTCTGCTCCCAGATGAAGATGAATTCATGTACTAACCACTGATCATCGTCACCTTGCAGGAGGAGCTGCCGAGAGGGACGGACGTCTTCAGGTGGGCAGTGAGCTGATCTCCATCAACAGCCAAGTTGTGTCCTCGATGACCAGAACCGAAGCCTGGAACTTCTTGAAGAAGCTGCCCGACGGTCCACTCACACTGGTCGTCAGCGGACGGGCTTCCTAGGGACATCCAAGCATCCAAGATGTGCCTTCTTGTCCACGTGTACAAACGCTTCTCTCCCATACCTGATCAGTTGCTCCCCAGAATGCCCTGGGCGAGGAGTGTGTGAGCCCAGAGGCGAGCACTCTTCGCCGTTCGACCAGTTCAGTGGTAGCTGGTGTTGTGACTTACAGACTTACTGAACCTAAGCCATTGCCTTATTTTTTATGTCAAACGGACTTCTGCAGTTGCCAATATGTATACCCTTTAAACGAGCAAACCTTGCATTTATCTTTAGACTGCCTGTAGGATTGATGCTTTGCCGAAGCTCATGGTGATGCATTTATCTTAGGGCTCAGTGTTGGTGATCTTTGGAATCAAACCGTCTTCGAGGAACACCCCTACAGGATAGATTTTGATCGTTTCCTTCTTCACTGAACAATTTGCTGACGATAGAGTACTTACGAACGTGGCCCTTTTGAGCTGAAATGTTGAGCGCTGACGAGTGCGGGGAAACAAGGAAGGGAAATAGTTGCGTTCAGTTAACTACCCGCTATTGCGGTCACCGCTACGGTAGGTCATTAAAGTGTTCGCGAGTGCTAGAGAAGGTTGAATAAGAACCCAGGGTGAATGGCGGACGAAAGTCGATACCTTCTGAAGAATTCTCTCTGGTGGTTGCTTACTGCGTCAGAGGTGTTAAGGGGGATTCACACACTCCCGTTGCGTCCGACCTAGTGCGAGGGTTGCTATGGGTTGATGCGCCGGCTCCAACAAAACCGGTTTTTACCCCGTTTTGTTGGAGCCGACACAGCTGTTGTCATAGCAACCCTCGCACTTGGTCAGACTCAACGCAAGTATTTGAATCGCCCTTTACTCTTCTGTTTCATTCTCCTTCGAATATTTTGGTCGCTCAGAAGTACACTATTGAAAAAAGCTCTGCTAGCCTCCACAGCTGGGTTCGTTGGTGCTGTGCACACACAGACGACACGCTTCTCCGACGCAACCGCAACGTACAGGTTGCACCGCCATGACTGTTCGTTTTCTGGCAGGTGACAAGGGGAAGCTGACTCTGAACAAACTCTTCTGCACAACGAACTCAGCTGTGGCGCCCAGTGAGTACCACCGAAGGTGGCCACGTGCAGTATCTTTCTGGATTGTGCCTTCGTCGCCTTCTGCAAGTGGCGCCATTTCTTTTTGAGTGGACCTCGAATTCGCTGCCTCTATTAACGGGGCTCTGCGCTCCCGTTATCCTAGCTACAATTAGCCGAAACGATCTGTCCTTGCCTTGGGCCGTGAGATTTAGACCCGTTTCTTATTACGACGCAGGTCAACTCCGCCTTATGGCGAGATGTCCCATCTGTAAAATAGTTAATATATATGCTACAGCAACGTTCGCATGTTAGAGTAGAGTTTTATGACGTGTGCCTTCAAGCTCGTTGTTTAGTGGGGGGTGCGCTTTGACGTGGTCGACAGCCGTTTGTGTAAGCTTAAACTTAAGAAGGCAAAGTGCTACACAAGCACAGTTCGTGGTGCTGCCTCGCTCAATAGCCACCTAAATCGAACTCGGGCGAACGTTTTCGAAACTTAACAGGGTGCTTCCGGTTTCGGTGCCAAGTGAGCTCCGATAAAAAGGCGCGAGGAACTTTTTGACTCGATTTGTTATCGCACTCGGATCCCGCTGAGAACAGCGTTTGACTTTTTTTCGCCTCCATGGGACCAAGAGTCAATTCCCGGTGTGAGCAAACTTTATTCTATGATTTTTTTTACATATACATATATAAATATATATCTAAGAGAACGAAATATTTTTTTTTGGTATAAGATGTGTAACATGAAACTTATGTGTCCGATGTGCATAAAACTCAAAGTCCTATTTATATCTACTAGGAGAGTCGTATGTAGTCTTTGTAATATATTTTCGCTCATCAGATGCGCAAGCGCAAAGCCGAGGTTGCCTTTATTTTTATTTTTAATCTTCGGCGAATAGTGTTTGCAAATGAGAACCTTTACGGTGATCGTCCCTTTATTTTTTTCGAAAATCCTACTTGACCTGGGGATCTCTTTGACTGCGCTTTCTATTCTTCCAGATTTTGATTTTTCTAACGAACATATTATCGGGCTCCGTTTTATTGATACTGCTTTTTTTTAGTTTTCCTTTCTGTCCGTGCTACGTTGTTATTAGCATGTTAAAAGGCGTTCTGGATTGCCGGCGTTTTCCTAAAGGGACACTGACTCTGCCTTTGCGTCTTATACTCTGCCTCTTTTCGCTTTCGTGTGGTCGTGAGCTCTGGAACCCATAAAGTACATCTGCGGCCACCTCACAATATTCAAGTTTCTGTAGCCCTTGACAACTTAAGAAAAGGGGGTTGAGGTCTATTAAGATTATGTAAGGCTGCGGAGAGATGATGAAAGGTTCGGAGGTCGCCACACCCGTGTTTCTTAAGTTCTCAGTAACTATAAAATTCTTCGCGTCCCCAACTGGCGCTATGATGCATCTTTTAGAAAAAAGTCTGCGGCGTGTTGAACTCCGTCTCGGAATGAATTGACTAACGACGAAAGCTACAGCCATTGTCAGCCAATAAGAGCACCGGAGTCGGTCACGTGACTGTACTTTATAGGGGTGTCGAACTGTGTTTTGTGGCGTGCTTGACTGCTGCGATCTTATTGGGCCGTCGGGGTTGCAACTACCGCTGTACTCATGCTAAAATTGAGTACAGCGGTAGGATTAACTGGCAAATGCCGTGTTCTTTCTGAATGATGCACTTCGTCATGCTTGTGGATCGTCGCACCTCGTAAAAGACAAGCTGCACATTGGGGAAAGTCGGGGGACTTTGCTTAATGTAGGTTGTCCCGAGATGTTCCCACTTTATGCAATCTTTCCCGGTGGCGTAACTGAATATTCCTAAAAAGTCCCGTACCACGATTGTTATTGCTCTATAGTCACTGACTGCCTAAAAAAGGCAGGATGCGGCATAGCGCATTCACGCTTCTTGCCTTCTCATTGGTTCTTCGGCGTTCTTTCGGCTAATGCAGCAATCTCATTGGTTGGGGAGCGATAATAAGATGTCTGTGACCTCCTGCCTTTCTCACGCTGTTAATGACTCTAGTTTAGATATATCGTGTAGGCCCATCAATTGACTGTTTAAAAAATAACAAACGAAAATATCGAAAAAAGTTTTCCCCTTCCCTCTAACATGGCCAATTCGGCAGTCTTGTGGCCAGTTTTAGCCATGGTAAGGGTCCCGTCCCCTTGTAGCGACAAACGGCAAACCCTGTTCGCTGATACGTCTGGTTCACCTGGTTGATGACCTTGTTTTACGCTGAAGCATCACTAAATGAAAACATCCGTGAACAAGCCGGGCTGAGGTACTTTGCTCGTAGCGTTAAGAGGCTGATTTAGTGTTGTCGGCCGACAAAAAGCGGTGTTCGTGGGGCTTGTGAGACTAGGCCTAAAGAGCCACGAAATCCTAGCGCAACAAGGAGGGAAGATGAGCCTTCTGATAACCCGAGTGATTTTCCGCGGTAGAGATGTTGGCAAACCTATTCTTGTTGTAAAACAATGGTTGCGCGTCACCGTTAAAGAAGCAAATCCATGTGTATTTTACATATCTGCGAACATTGTTTGGTGTTTGCAACTTTATTGAGACAAGTCACAAACGAAACGCAGAATCTGATCACGTATTAGACATTGTTTTCTTTTATGAAAGCGTTTTTACACAAATCACATTCAACGCGTTTAACTTCCCTAGAACCTCGCATATGTTCTGCAGGCCTTGTGGTTTAGAAAATAGAAGGGTCAGTCAGCAAGAGGAGCGAACAGATCACTCATATTGTGGGCACAAAAAGCAGTGACGTCATTCTTCTGTCCTCGCACCTGATGCTCCTATTAAGACGTCCCTCTGCTAGACAAATTTGAAACTCTAAGACCGTGAGAATGTCAGTGGCCCTTTAGAGAAACGCGGTGCTCTGGTCTCGGTTGTAACAATTTTGGTTGCTGTGTCTTCGAACCATTTGAGTGTAGGGATGTTGCCGTGAATAAAAAAACTGAATGCCTTTTGTTACTCCACCGTGATCTCTTATAATTCGCGGAGTTACCAGGATGAATAGTGGTCACGCGAATGCCTCAGAGTGTCAGACATTGTTTAGCTAAAATACTATTAAAGGTTTCTTCCAGGAGGTTCATGGTAATAAAACCCAAGACTCAGGAACACAGAAGGTTCCTAAGTCTCGGATTTTATTACCATGAATCACCACCAGCTAGCTTGTTTTATAAGTATTGTTATAGTCGAGGAGGTTCTTCTTTTAGCTTCTTTCTGTCAGCTTCAACTGTCTTTGTGACTGGAGAAGAAGGAGAAAAGTGTAAGTAGATACACACACAAACAGATACACAGAAGTCCTCAGACACGGAAGGCAATGTATTGGAGAGTCGTTTATACGCAGCATGTGCCACTCTCTCCTCACAGCACCATATTGCCAACAAAAAGTGAAAAAAAAAAAAAATTACTCCACACAACGAGACCTTCTTCAACCAGATTGTGGGAAAGACTGACAGATTAGAAAATGAGTGCCGAACGGCCCCCCAAATGTTTGGAAATGGGGACCAAAACTGTGCACATGACTAAAAAAAAAGCAACCCAGTTACGGAGCCGAAATTAGATCAAGTTTTAAACATAGCTACATTCTTTCAAATGTGCATAGTTCCAGCTACAGTCACTCGCAAAAGGTAACTTATGATTTGTGACAACTTAAGACTTAAGGAAATGCTCCTCCAACTCGAGCTTTCTGCATTTGATAACACTTCGTCGCATGGCCGGAAAAAACCCGGAGAAAGGCACCAAGGGCGTGTTGGAGGCCAAGCTTCTACCGAGCTTCTGTCCTGTCTCCCTCTTTACGTTTCCTCTTTCTGTCACGCTATCCCATATCTCAATAAAACTACTAAATTCTTACCTTCCCACCATCTATAATTATGTTTCATTTACTTCCCAAATACTCCATGACTTGGAGGGTTTAGAACTGTTTAGATTTCAGCGTGAAAAAGCTAATATCGATCAGTTTTTTTTTTATTTTTTAAATAACCCCTAAACTTGAGACAAATCTTGCGATGGTGACACATGTAGCACTAACGTCGATGCTAAACAAAAAGGATTTTTTGTCGATATAACTTTAGAAACCAAGCGTAGCTGATGCAAGTTACGGGTTGCTCTAAAGATACTATGCGTTAGTTACATTTACTGAAATTTTAATGTAATGACTCGGGCAGTGTTTAGGCAATTAAAATACAACTCATTACAGTAACTTAATTATTTTACGGCTCTGGTGGTAACCAAGAGGAAGTTTCTCACACTTGCAAATGCTCACGAGCAGACTGTTCCTTTGCCATCAGAGATCTCGCTTTGACGTTCAGTGGAAGCCTTGCGCGCCAACCTCGATGATTACTTGCCGTCCATTGTTGTCGAGCGGTGCCACTGTGATTAGCGGAAACATGTGGCGTTGCTTAAAAGCTGTTTTCAATATGGGCCGTCTAGCGCTTCTCTTGCGCAGACTCATCTGGAGAAGCCGAAGCGTTCAGACCAGTGATTTGTACACATTGTCCCAACACTACCCTAACAGACTGCCCTCAGAATTTCCTATTACATCCCGCCGATTGACAGTCCTGGATAAACCCCGATTTAGACGTCGGATATTAAACACAAATGATGTTTCGAGTCGCTGCCTTCCCTTCGCTGCCAGAATCCCATGTTTCGGAAGCGCCTTCGCTGCCAGAATCCTCCCAGACTTTAATTGTTCTTCCAGTTGCGATGAAATTAAGTGCGGCTCAGCCTTTCACCAACACAATATATCTGGCGTCAAAAAATCTGTCCCACCTCTGCCGAATACCTGGTGCCCCACGCGCGGAGAAAGCCCAGTGACTCGTCACTTTTCGCCATAGTAATAAGCACTGGAATGCTGCATTCACCAAAACGCCACATTCAACAGGCTCCACACAAGTCATCCTTTGGGCTGACGCTTAAAGGTTGTGGCACTCTGCACGTCCCTACCAAGTCATCCTCTATAGAGCAGTTCACCGTCAGGGCACCGCGGGCATTGTCCACGTTCGCGCGCGGTCACATTCCTCGAAAACATCCCGGCCGCGTTGCTTCACGATAACCGACCGACGAGTCGACCGATCCGTAAATGTCTTCCGTGACACACAAGCGCCATCAAGCGGAGGGGGCTAGCGGCCCGTCGGAGCGGTGCGAGGGATTCCAATGACCCTTTGCTGGGTCCCTCTGCCGCTTACCGTGACCCGGAACGGGCCGATATGATCTGATTTCACGGATCGGAGGAGAAGCATAAAGCCCTCCGCGACCGGGAGTAGCCAGGGAGAAGCGATGATTGCTACGTTGGCCGTGGAAGTCCGCGGGCGCAATCCCAATCGATGAGTCATCATCGGCAGGTGGAATCTCCGGACTTGTTGCCAAATATACTGGCATCTAGAGCGTGCACGATTTAGGAGGGGGAGGGGGAGGGGGGTGCAATGCAGTCGTCTCGAGTTAGCACAAGATCTCGTTATCTCGTTTGTCATGCGCCGGGAGAATAAGTAGAGTGTGCTAAAAGAGGGGTGTTCTGACCTGGCCAAAGCAATCTTGGGGCTGGAGAGGTTCCCAGCGTAACTCCCATGACGTCGCGGGTGATGGACCGACAGGCGCTGCCATGTAGCGCTGTGTTGGGGTCGGAGGTGTACGTACAGCCGCAGGAAAGCGTTTTTGTTTTTTTATACAAGCCTGTTTTGTTTTAGTTTTTATATTTTTAAGCCTCCCTTTTCCTTAAACTTTCCGGTCGTTACATCGAAATGAATTCGCATGCGCAGAAGAGCGAGGTACACCGTGGCCGTGTTCCCAAATTTACTCGTTCTCGCACTAGGGTAAACTTTCTTTACCTTAGCGTTCTAAAACCTACCCGCGTCTAGCGTTGCTCTATTTGTGTTGCTACGTGGCATGACCCTTTCGAGTAAGATTTGGAACAAAGCCTGTATGGTGCCACAGTCTTCACAATGCCTCGCAAGAGGAAGGAGCAGGCTGAAGGTTATATATATATATATATATATAGTTTAACATACGTGTCGTTCGTCTATACTACGTGTCACTACTTGTGTGCAGTGCAGGCGAAGGCAACTCCAGGCGAAACAAGAAAGGGCGAGCACTAGGAAGGTGGGACAGGAGAGGAGGGCTTTGGAGGGTGAGGGGACAAAGGGAGAGTACTAGGAACTTTAGAGAGGAGAGAAGATTTCTCTCCTCCTCCCCAGCCTTCCTGGTGCTTTCTCGCTTTGCCTGGCGTTGCCTTCACATGTGCTGCACGCAACTAGTGACGCAGAGTATGGTCTGTGCATGATGCTCAAGAAATATGTATGCACAAACAAAGAAGGACAGGTAAGAAGGTGCAGAGCAGAAGCAGACCAGAGACTGATCTACAATGGCGTCGCGTGCATTTATGATTTACGTGAGGCCGTGATCGTTGGGTAGCTTGTCGGGTTCCGTCATATTCTGACGCGTGAGGCAACGTATCGGGGCGTTCTGATCTATAGTCCGTTGCAACTCAAGAAGGTAGGACGAGGGAAAGGAAGGCCGAGGAGGAAGAAGCAGACGGAACGCTAAAGAGAGAAGGAGGCTTCCCCCTCTTTTCTTTAGCGTTCCGTCTGCTTCTTCCTCCCCAGCCCGACCTACCCCCGCCCTACATTCTTGAGTTACAACGGACTATAGGCAACCTGCAATGCTGTTTGGTTTGGCGCCATCTAGTGACTGAAGCAAGAAATATTGGGTACCCCTGGGAGTGGGGGCTGCATTGTTCAAACGTGAGCTTCTATTCTGGTGGCGCCGCTTAGCCTAGTGTCTGAAGCAAGAAATACTGGGTATGCCAGGAAGCCGTGATCGCGTAACGTGCCAGTAGAGCGGAAGCTACGCCCTAATGGCGGGCCAATCGGAACGTGCCCGCGTATCACCGGAGCGCGCCTCAACTTCGAAGAAGTATCAGGCTTTTCGCTGCGTCATGCTCCGATATCTGTGTGTTGCGCTCGTATACGTCGCACATTTCGATGCCTTTGCCACGCAATGTGGGGCTTATAGTTAGGGTTCGGAGTTTTCGATTTAAACCGATAAAAACCGATAAACGTACGCCGAATCCATTTTCGGAAATTCGATTTTAACCGAAAAAGGTCAGTTTGTAGGTTCCGTGTTTTCGGTTTAAAATCGATAAAAACCGATAAAATTTCACCTTAGCCGTTTTCTAAAATTTGATTTTAACCGAAAATGGTCCCTTTTTTAGGGTCGCGTTGAGATGGGCGGGAGGAGGGGGAAGGGAGAGAGGGCGTTGCAAGGTTCGACATTGTGTGACGTCTTCGGGATTGCCCTCTTCCAAGGTTCAACATACAACAAAAGAGGTCTTGTATTGGCCTTCGCGGGACATCTGTGTCCTTTCTATGGCTGGGCTGAATGTGTCAAGTTCCCGGTCCTAAAAAAAATTTCGGATGTGGGCTAGTATAAGTTTTTTCGCTTCATGCACCTCAGAGGACATCGAGGATAGCCGCTAATACCTTTCTTAACACCCTCCCTTAAACTTCCCTGTGGCTGAAATCATAAAGACAATGTTTCCTTTTTTTTTTTTTTTTGGGGGGGGGGGGGGGGGGGGCTTGTACGGTCATCACTTCGGACGGTCACGTCGTTAGAATGGGAAGGAAAAAGAAGCGCGCTGAAGATTATGCCCGCGACTTCCGCGATTTTGATTTGTGTCCTGACGGAAGTTGTAGCGAAGACCATGTATGGATGTGTGCCGTTATTCTTTGAGTGATCACAAATATCACAGCTACAAGAATCATCTGATCCGGTGTTCGATGGTGTTTCTTTCATATTCACCGAAAAAAACGGTAAACTTTTTTGGGAATAAATATACACCGAAAAAAGCCGAAAATTGACTTTTAAAATAAACACCGAAAAAAGTATGCCGACTTTTGAAAAAATAAAAACCGAAAACGCGGAACCCTACTTATAGTTCACCCTTTGCCAAGTTACAACGAGACAGGGTATAACGGTGCGCTCTCACCCTGCTGGCGCCGCCTCTCCATTGCCGGCTGGCTATGCTCATCGGCCGCTGTTACCTGTTCGAGGTCGTGAAAAAGACATATATTCTGCGCTCAAAGTACCCGTCCAGGCGTGAGTGCGATGCGCTTCCAAAAAGTGGTTTCGGCAGAGCGCGGAAAGACTGCCGCACAAGTGGTGCACGTTCATTCGGCTTAGGGGGAGCATGTGGAGAAAGGGTACATTGCTACCGACCTTTAGCTGACTGGTACACGCTGTAAAAAATACATAAAATGTAAATTAACATGGTTCACACTCCTCATACACGAGTTCCCCCGATATCCGTAGCAAGTTGCTCGTTGATGTTGAATAAATAGATTACAAGAGGTTAAGCAAAACCCAGTACTGTTCGAGGGCTAAGGTCGCAAGTATCAGATATGTTTGTATACATCGTATCAGATATGTTTGTATAAATATTTAATGAGAAGCAGGTGTTTGTTGTAGTCGCCACACAAAATGTTTTTACTCCGGCGCAGATAAAAGTTTTGCCTCAAACTTTCCTTATTTGTAGTTTCACTCGAAAACTTCCAATTTAAATTTCAACATACAAAAGACAACGCACGCATAGCATTTGATGGCACTTTATTCACACTTTCACTGATTATCTTTATTGCAATAGGAACACAAAAGGGAGTTGGCGAATCTGATTAAATAACGAGAAGCACGAAAGAAAACTGACTGCAGGGGGCTAGCACCAAAAGGACGAATGTTTACTACTCACCCTCCTGTGCACATCGCGGTCACCTCGATGGATGACTGAAAAAAACAAGTTATCTCCACGAGGAGCCTTAGGCTCATCAAATTTAAAGTACGGGCTGAAGTTTGCGGAGCACGCCGACTGAACTCTAGTGACAATGACGCCGCGCTTTTATCGCCTAAGTCCAATTGGGGCGCTCAGTAAACGTTTTGCTCCAAGTTTGTGTTTGACGAGTCTAGAGGACAACATTTCCCTTAATAGGACATGTCTAATGTTTGGTCACTGCACCGCTGGAACCTTCGGACCTGAGATGGCTCCCGATCGCATCAAGGCGATTCTGGCTTGCATGGGCACCGTCTGTGGTCCCTAACGTGGACGATCTTGACCTCGAAGACGTGAAGAGTCCGCTGATCGTCGGGCTTGATGACAGCAGTCTGAAGAGATGTTTGTGGTCCCTGAACCCTAGGAACAAATATACACCTTGCAGCCCCACGAGCAGGATGCTGGCGCAGTCGATGAGCAACGAGTCGGCTACGGCACTCAGAAGACCCAGGAGCCAAGAGGCACCCATTATGAAGGCGAGCTTCACGAACAAGAGAATCCGCGACGGCGACTCGCTGGTTTTGAACTCAAATTTATGCGACTGCGATTCGGTCTTCTTAATCGTGAAGATGGTGTGAAGGTAGAAGCCGACGTCGACCAGAAGCAGGGATATCATCGGTAGGAGAAAGAAAGCCAGGTGCGCCCACTTGCGGTTTATGAAGCACCGGGGAATGCCATAGGAAGGAGATAGGTATGAACTGCTTGCGGCCCAATTTAGGGCCGAGGCGACGGCAATAAATAACAGCGGTGAGCCCCAGCCGCAAGCGCTGTAGAGAGGGAACGACTTGCAGCTACCGGAAGGTCTGCGGACGAGTATGAGGGTCTTCCAGATGTTGTACGAAAGCACGGTTGTCCAAAATGACGTTGACAAGAAGCCGTAGTGAAGCGCGATAGCAGCCCCCACACAAACACCCTGGCCAAAGTCAAGAACGTTGAAGATGAGGAAACACAGCTGAGTGAAGAAAAGCGTCATTGATAAGCAGAGAGTGCATTGAGACGAAAATGTCCTACACTGCTTGTGAAATATGTAGACGATGAGCTTGAGCATCAAGCAAACTAGGGACACCGATATGCAGACCATGGTCAGATAAGCGCGGATGAGGCTGCTGGTAGTCGCCTCAAGCTCGGTTCCATTTATGTAGCGGTAAGTTACATCTTGAATGTAACACGTTCCGTTGTAGCCGGAAAAGCAGGTTTCGTTGCTGCCGACTGTTCTGAAGATGGATGAGAGGTCCAGCGTGTTTATGTCAATCGAAATCTTGGGATCTTTTGTCGTGAAGTTTTGAATCTTTTCGGGTGGGAGGCAAGACAACAGGTCAAAGTTGGCGCCATTGCAGTACGCGCAGTAGGCATTCTTATAGTACGTTTCGTCATTCAGTCCTCTCCACTCTACGATGGGAGCGAAGTACATGCGGCACATCTCAGAGACCGTCGCCGACGTACCAACGGGACAGGTGTCCAAGGGAGCAAACTTGCTGCAGCGGCGCAGATGCTTCTGAATATCCACCGTTAGATAGTCCGGGGGCTGAAGCCGCAGCTTGCTGTTATTGGCGATCTCGATGACGTCCCAGAAAGTTACGCTGCCGACGTCGTAGTTGCAGAGCGCGCAGAATCCGTTACGGTAAGTGACTCGAGAGCTGTTGCTCGTCACGGGGATGCCAAAGTATATGGTGCTCATGCTGGCGTCAACACGCTCGCACTTGGAGCGGACCTCGTCGTCGGATGGCCAAGTATCGCTGCAGCCGGACACGAGTTGGACGCTTTTGGTCACACCCCCTGCTAGGGATAAACTTATGCATTGCCAGGGGGACTTGGCCGGAGCAGATCCCAAGTCGATGACCTTGTTGGTGCAGTTCCAGCAGCAGTCTCCATAGTCCTCGCAGTTGTCGCTGCAGGAGCACGTCAGGTACGCCCAGTCGAAGCACGAGAATGATCCGTCGCTACAGCATTCGATGTCGGACGGACATTGCATCACGGCTTCGAAGACGTCGTCCGTGAGGTGGGCTAGACTGGGATGGTTTTCGCGCGGGATGGCATTAGTAAACGCGTTGTCGCAGTCATCTTGAGCCACGACGAGCGGGAGGACCATAAGCATGCTCCGAACAACAAGCCACATGTCCAGGCCGGTGGATGTTCTCTACAGACTGCCACCTTGGAAGCGGGCTTTCATCTCTGGAATGTCTGGTTCTCTGTAAAGAAAGAACAACACGTACCAATTTGGTCACTTGTGGTTTGAAATAGGTCTGCTTTCATAGCTATGCGGAGCGCAAATTCGTCTGCTTCTTACACAGGGGCTGCGATAACGTCAGAACGCCGAGCTCTTATTGGCTCATTGAAAACGATAGTGGGTAGACATCAAGGCGTCTAGCATTGAGGTATATTCACTACCCTTTAAACCAAAGCCAATGAGAGCTCGGCGTCGTTCTGACGTCACCGCAGCCCTTGTATAAGAAGCAGACGAATTTGCGCTCCGCATAGCTATGAAAGAAAAAGCGCGTACAGGTTCATGGGGCATTCACTGTGTTTAGCCGGGTCAACGCACAAAAGCGACGACCACCGTGACGATGCACTTTTCAGGATCAATTGGATCGTAGCGTCGGCTGCGGTCGGATCGAGTGAAACAATGTACTATAGGCTTTACATTTTGGCGAAGTGCTCTCACTGAGATAACCCGAAACACCTTGTGCCCGAGAAGCTGTGGAAGACATGTCTTTCTTTATCGGTAGGAAATTAGCCAGCCATAATGGTCACGGCGTTTGCGTTACTCGCTGACGTTGTAATGGGCTTTCGGCCTCTTTTCTATATTTCTGAGAGCAAGACAGAAGTCAGTAGGATTGTAAGCAACGGAAAAATAGCGCTGGCCCGGAAGAATCAGTCCAAACAACTTTCGGTCGGCACGTGTAAGGAACGTGAACAGTTCAATTGTTTTTATACGTATTTAACATCGAGTCTCGTTTTAGGAAAACACAGATGAAATTTGAACCTTGATTCTAATTATTTCTAAAACAGGGCCGGTGTTTTGTTTTTCGTGTATTTGCTCGCAGCTCCAGCGAAATCGACGCCGCGTAGCGTCAAAACCGAGGAGCTCCGAAAAGAGATTCTTTCGCTTTATCTGCATATCGATGAAGTTGGGCAAAATAATCGCAGTTTAGTCAAGAAACAACGAAATCAAATTTTAACGAGGACGTCGAGACAGTTAAGCTGCGTCCCATCTCTATGACTCGCGAGATGAAATAGGACGCCACCTAGCGCAAGAAACCTTTCCGTCCAACGAAGGTAGGGGGAAGCGCAAACTTAAGTAATTTATGGAATCAAAATTGTCAAAAAAGACATATCTTCGAAATAAAAAAATATAAATATATGCGTAGGTTTGCACAAACAATGGTTTCCTTACGCAGTACGCGCAAAATGAATTGTGCTGGCGTTGTGCTGCAACAATGATGGGTAAAGGGAGACCTTTACCGTCGCGGAGAGTTGCACTACGATTTATCTGTAACTTAGGCGATAGCGCTGTGGCGATATGATGCAGTACAGAGGAATGATGCATGAGTAGGTGAACGCACGTATTGCCGAGAACATATAGCACATAAAGACTAGATGCAAAAGTTACCCGTAATACGTGGGTTATTTATTTATTTATTTTAGAGCGCAGCTCCTGGGCGCCCGTTAACTGGTTGAGCAGCGTCGGCGTAACCGCGCGCGTTGCGTTATTTGACGTCACAGTTTTCCTGCTAAATTTAGCGGGGAGACTGAATTGGTGTTGAGGTCACGTGTCGTCAATATTCCTCTTAGTTTTTCGGAGACACTTAACCCGCTAAATTTAGCGGGTTAAGTTTCCCCTCTAAACTTAGCGGGTAAATTGACGTCACGTGAACTCGACATCAATTCAGTTTCCCCGCTACAATTAGCGGGGAAATGTTTGCTAAACTTAGCGGGAAATTTAGCGAAAATTTCCCGCTAAATGGGAGGGAAGCAGGAGAGGAGGAAGGGAGGAAAGGTTGGGGGAGGAGAGGCATTCCCTCACCTCTGTTCCGTCCCTTCCTCTTCCTCAAGAGCTGCGCTCTAATTCGGCATTACAGAGAATTGTAAACGACTTTCTTTTTTTTTTTTTTCAGCGCAATGATTACGTTACATTTGCAAATGTTTTATAAAACGGCTGCAGTGCCGATTTGTTTGGAGACAGTTGGTGTTACGGTTTGTACGTGCTACAGTCACTGGCAGAATAAGGGGGCGTGGTTTCGGCAGCTAATGAGATTACGCCGTTGGAGGATAGAAATGCCGAACAACCGACCCCGATGCGAGAAGCGTACGACCCCAACAAGTGGCCGCGCCCTGTCGTTCTTTAGTTTTCAGTCACTGGTTTCTGCGCCTCCCTTCAAGAATTCGTTCTCATAGGGAAAAGATGTAGTAGAGTTCTACGCATTTATTCCACCCTTTAATTTGCTTAGCATCACGCACAATTTCAAATGCTATCACGATGGCGTGATCGGATTGGCAAGCGGAAGCCTGTTCTCACGCCTGCCAGAATTATTTTCAAGCGGCCGCGGCGGCCCTCTTTTGAACCGACAAAGCTCTTACCGTCAAGGAACCGCTGAGCCGTGTCATTGCGCCTTAATTCTACCCTGCAATGCAACAAGTTACATGGTATGTTTGCACGCTGAACGACTAGATTGACTGCCATTTTGACCTAGGGTGCTTAAAGGAGCTGTGCAACAATTTCAGGGCTTTGCTTAAATAATTGTGGAAGTTGATGCAGTGAACTTCTGCAGTGAACTACAGAAAACAGATTTTGCCTGGATACCCTAGTTTTTACTTAAAAAAATGAAAAAGATCCAGGTTTTTGCCGCCTCTCAACTCGTGCATCGTCTTCCGGGTCACGTGCACAGTGACGTCACTAGAGTAGGCGCGGAGTTCCGGAAAAGTTCTCTCTTTAGAGCCATCAGCGAGCAGCGAGAACTCATCCGCTACCGACTGCGTGACCACCCGTCCTTGCCCGTCCGGCGCTGTTCCCCTCCCCCTCCGGCTTCTGGCGGCTGTTCGCGGTTTTGTGGACCTAGGATAGATGGCGCCACTAAAACTCCGTATAATAAAAGTTGTCGATGATACCAGGGTGTTGACGCATTTATATATACGTTGGAACGACAAGATTTGTAAAAAGAGTTACCTTTTATCGAGCAGGTATTCGCACAACTTGCTATCTTTCTTACAACGACCCAAGTGACGTCACGCCGCTTGTTTCTCATGGCCGCCGCTCGTGGCTGCAGGTCGGGAAATATTCCAAGTTTTGCCTCGCTATTACGCGGCGGAATCGCAACATTGCGATGAAAGGAGGTGTGTTTTCTGCCATTTGTGACACAGTGAACAATATCAAAAGCAGAAAATGCCAATTCTTTCAACGTTAAAATCGTTGCACAGCTCCTTTAAGGTCACTGGAGTCCCGAATGGTCTACGATCCCTTAGGATATGTTTATTAACTCTTCATTCTCTCGCTTTCAAACTTTTTTATGGCGCCATTCAATGGAGATGGTTCATTCCCCACTGAAAAGAAAAAGTTTGAGAAATTCCCGCGTCACACATATCGCACGAATAGGTACGGCACGTAGACTTGTCTTAGTCTAAACAATTAAAGGCTCGTTTACGCGTTTGTGTTTGAGAATGATCGACCGCATTGCAACAGTCAGTCATTGCTTATAACGAGCGAAGACCATGGCGCCATCTATCGGCTAGCCCTGGAACCCTTCCGACCGGCGAGACTGAAGATTTGCAGTTTCTGCGAGATCAAATGGACTCAAGGTTTTTGCGGTATTTGCGAAATGAAATCCGCAAGAAATGGTTGCTACGAAACATTGTCAGAATTGTCCACGGTGAAAGGATCACGCGTAAAATTTGTGAAGATCTTATGTGTTCAAGGGGTGGCCGATAGATGGCGCCAGCGTGTTCTCTCGCCGTAAGAGCGCTTCGTTCAGCTGCGTTTAACCCGAGATACTTGGATGAAATTCGCAGGATGTTCAGACTCGTCATATAAATGCAGGCGTTGACCCATTGAAACACGACTGCACTTGAATGCCTTTTGCGGTGTGTCCTAATAAAGAGACTCATACGCAACTTATACCATACGTTTTGTAGGTAGTTAACAGTAAAATAAACAACGCCAAAAAACGTAGGGCAAGATAAAGAACACACGAAGCGCAGACTATCAACTCATTTAATTTGAAGAAATATAAATGAACGTGAAACGTGAACAATGAAATGCATCGTCATCTTTCCCCGACACATGTCAAACCTGCTCAATAATGCCTACTCTTTGTCATATCGACACGATCGACACCGAACTGACACATCTGCCTTGTCTTTGTGCGTCGTAATTAAAAAAAAAAAAGAAAAAAAGTTCTCTATTCATGGGTTGACTGACGTCCTAAAATTATCATTGAAAGTAGTAGGATAGCTTGTTGGTTGAACATATTAACAAGTTTTTGAACTAATTTCTCCCTGTTTGTCCTTTGTTCATAGTTCCGTTTAAAAACGTTTCTAAAATTGTCATTTTATCTAATATGGGTTAAAATCGAACCTGCCACAGTGTACTGCCAATTGTTACCTGATGGCGATGATCTGATCGAAAGAGAATGTTCTATTAACCTCTCATTAACACAATTTCAGGGGCATTTTTTTATTACGAAGCACAAAGATAGATTTGTCAGTTTGGCGTCGATCGCATCGCGTGACAAAGAGTTGGCATTCTTGAGCCGGATTGACAGTTGACACGTGTCGGAAACATACTGTATTTACTCGAGTAGTAGCCGCAATGTTTAAGAAGAAAACGGGGGGAGGGGGGGGGGGGGGGTTCGTTTTTCCGCAGAGTACGCGAATTGCCGTGATTACCGCAATCGACAGCATGATTCCAGCGGTTTACAGGACAGAGCACCGTGGGACAGAGATAGCGTCTTCGCGCGAAGATACCATCTGTGAAGGTTGCATTTGTATGGAGAATCGTGTTCTCGATCTAACTATTCGCTATATAATTTATGCGCAACGCAATGATTGGTTGTATATACGTTTTGCGGGAAAGCAGATGCGAGGGCCTTGTTCATAAATAGTGCGGCTATTACTCGAGTAAAT